TTAAACAGGCGAGCAGAGAAAAGAAGTTAAAAAAATACATCTGCGAGACTGGTTAAGAAGAAAGGCCCATCGAATGAAAAATGAGTGAGTGAGAAGAAAATAGATAGGATCCAACGAAAGGCAAGGCGGAAAACAGGACGGCCGGAAAGAAATAGAAAGTGCAAAGAAGAAAGAAAATAGTGAGCAAAAATAGATCAACAAAAAAAAGGCAGAGCACAAGCAGATCAGGCTACAGGCGAGCAGAGAAAGGAAGTTAAAAATAGATCCGCGAGGCTGGTCCCCCAGACCCGCGTAAGCCAAGGTAAAAAGGAAATCGGCATTCGGGACAAAAATAAAAATCAGCTAAGAGCAAATTGAGATGAAAATCTTCAAAATAAAAAAATACGTCCAGGCAAAAAGAGTTGTAAAGCGAAATAAGGCAAGCAGAGAAAGGAAGTTAAAAATAGATCTGCGAGGCTGGTCCCCCAGACCCGCGTAAGACAAGGTAAAAAGGAAATCGGCATTCGGGACAAAAATAAAAATCAGCTAAGAGCAAATTGAGATGAAAATCTTCAAAATAAAAAAATACGTCAAGGCAAAAAGAGTTGTAAAGCGAAATAAATCTACAGTGGGGACGAGGCTGGTTGAGAAGAAAGAGGCAAAAGGCCCATCATAAAAGGTAATCCTAGACCCGCAAAGTTGTAAAGTGAAATTGGCATTGGGGGACAAGAATAAAAAAAATCAGCTAAGGGAAAATTTAAATGTAATGAAATAAAATAGAAAAACAAAATACATTGCACTGCAGAAATGAACAAGCATGAAAATGATACTGAACGAGAAAAGGAGTAAGGAGATGCGCAAGCCAAGAGAACAAAATAAAAATTCATCCAGACCAAAAAGTAGCGGTAAAATAAAACAAGAATCAAAATATCCATCAGCTAAGGGAAAATCTGCGAGGCTGGTTGAGAAGAAATTGAATAGCAGCAATAGCAGGCAAGCGCAAGCCAAGGTAAAAATGAGATCGGCATTGGGGACAAAAATAAAAATCAGCTAAGGGAAAATTGAGATGAAATGAAAATAGTAAATCATATAAGGTTTGGAGATGAAGTTTCGAGTAAAAAGGTTACGTCGTTTTTGTTAGGTAACATGGTTTCACTGGACAAAAAAAAAACTTGCTACAAACAACACATTGCGGCTCTTCGTTGCCATTTTGTTAAACGGTATCGATATAAAAAATATTTATAATTCTTAAAATTTAACGAGTTTTTGGATTTCCTTGGATAAAGATTATCCTTCCTTGGTAATAAAAGTGCGTACTCTCATCCTCTTATTCGTATTTATGTGAAGCTGGCTTTTCTACCGTGACCGTAATAGAGTAAAAATATCGATTTCGAGTAAATGATGGAAAATGCGTGTGGCTCTCTCAATTTACAAGGTTCAATAACCTATAACAATTGTAAAAAGATGCGATTTTTCTGACTTTCGTTGAGTTTTTTTTGCTCGTTTAAATGAAACTCATTGCAAAAAGAGGTCTTTTATTGAAAGGTCATAAGACGTTTTTTTAATGGGGAGTAGTAACTTGAGCATATTATTTTGGAGGGCGTCACAGTACAAAGAAGTTTGAGATCCACTGCTTTAGGCCTACACGTTCGTCTATAGCAAAACCAAAAAGATCGCTGTAAACTTGATAATGAACTACTTGAGTACTTGACAGTCAAAAAGCTAGGCCAACGGTTAACGAAGGTGCCACCACCCTCAAAAAGTTTGTCCGATTTAGGCCGACGGTGACGCGATATTGAATGGTCGTCATTTGGGCGACAACTTCGCGATCCCGAGATAGCCATGGCGCCCAATTTATTCGCAATTTTGCTCCCTCTCCCACGGAACACTCGGAAGATGCTCGCAGAACACAGTTTGGGAAACGCTGGCTTACAGAGTCACAATGTACACATGTTATAATGTACGGCTTGTTTTGAAGATTTGTGTTTTGTTACGTCCCGTTCTCATTTAATTACAATATTATCCAATTATCTTTCTTGCTTTGAGTTGTGACTGAGGATCTTTTGACTCACTACTCACGTATTTTAACATTGTTTCGTGAAAATAAATCTTTTTCTCTACTATACCGTTAGCGCTACCTGTTCACAGCACGATTTTCCATTTAGAGTTCGGTCGGTAGGGCATGCCGTGTTTTAGTGCAGTTGCAGGCTCAAGTACACGTAGTTTTGACTGGAGCTGGCGACATGCTATGCCAGGTCGATAATAAATAAAGCACAACCGGTGTTAGCAAAACTGAACGATGTAATTTCCCGACGTTTCGAATTTCTATACAGAAAAACTTTCTGTATAGAAATTCGAAAAACTTTCTGTATAGAAATTCGAGACGTGGGCAAATTACATCGTTTTGCTAACACCGGTTGTGCTTTATTTATTATCAACATGAGTTTGCCTTGTGGCAATTATGCTATACCGTACCGGTACCGTACCGATTGTTTTTTTTAAGTACCGGTACCCGTACCGGTAGATTTGATCCAATTTGGCAATGGATTCAAATTTGGCAAAAAAAAAAATTTTGTTTTGCTAACACCGGTTGTGCTTTATTTATTATCAACATGAGTTTACCTGGTGGCAATTATGCTATACCGGTCGGTACCGTACCGATTGTTTTTTTAAGTACCGGTAGATTTGATCCAATTTGGCAATGGATTCAAATTTGGCAAAAAAAAAGTACATAACTTAAGTGTATGAAGAAAGAGGGGTAGATTATGGCATACAGTGTGTGTTGGTGTATGTTTATTAGTTACCGATATCAACAAATGAAAATATATTCAGAAATTATAACTGTATAAGCTACGGTCCCAATATCGAACCGTAAATATGTACCATATGCTACCGGTACGGTAAATTAAGTCAGTAAGCCAAAACTGCAAAAGGCAGAAACTGAGAAAGGGCATAGTGAACCACCGTTGTTCCTTCCTTCAGTCCTTCTTAATCATTCAGTCATTATATATTAGGAGTCAATTAATACCGGAACCTGAGTGCGGTAACTCTCTTTGCTCACAGCTCCAGAAAGTTCAGAAGGTAGTGAATCAATTCAGTGCTCTAATTCCAGAATTCATGTTTTTTCAGTCTGACTGTAGTCTGATAGTAGGGTGGTGCAGCCAGACTGCGGACGTTTTCATTCAAACCACCATAAAATAAAAACCAATACTTCTAATCCGTTAATTTTTTCACCGTAGGTCTGTAGGTGCATTGGCATTTATCCTACACGCTACAACTTTCTATGACCAGGGGTTAAAGTTATACAAACCACCAAAGTCCTCACCCAGAAGACGTATTTGTGACCGAACGACCCGTGCGCGACCACGGATTTCGAGCCTTAATTAAACATCGTTTCTGCTGCGTTGAGACTACAACAATGTGAACAAATTGGGCTTTTAATTGCATTTTTGAGCATCATTTTTTCTAAAGAACGCGGTTGTTTCGAACACAACTCGTCAAATTACAAACAAGCATCGCATCGCAGCAATCAAACTCACAAAAACATGGTGGTCGCAAACACCCCCATTCCTCCTTCTTTAAACAGTTGAATGTAGAAACACGAAACTTTAAAGATGGTTAAAAGAACACAACTCTACCCACCGGGCAGCCGGGTCTTACTATTTACTAATTACAGCGCGAAACAGAGGACTGGAGGAAACCAGCGCAAAACAGAGGGAAACGGCGCAAAACATGAGACGCGGTTATTACCACTCCTGCCACGGAAGAACCACGGCGCCTCTCATCATGGTTTTATGGCGTTATTACCGGTATATTCACAAGGCTATGTAACGGATTTTAGGTCATCATTTGAAATTTTATCCAGGTACTTTTTTTTTCATCTAACCCTAACCTAACCCTAAAGCCGAATCAATCCAAACTGTATCCATATGGAAAATGTTCCAAATTACGGTACCCAAAATGTGTCACCAGCAAAGGGACAGACCTGCCATCACAGCCTACATGCCTTGGTTTGCTTTTTTAATTTGCTGCTGTGGTACCTCCCCAACACAAAAAAAAGGTACCCCAACTCATTGCAGAATTTTTTTCTGTTTTGCGCTGTTTTGCACTGTATTCAGTAAGTAGTAAGAATAAGAATGGTACCCACCTGACAAGTTTCATCTTTTATATTTCTATGGATTTTCAAGCTATCCTACAGTGTTAGTTAGCGACATGAAAAAATGGTCTGTTTTTTTTTTCTTTGGTCGGTTTTTAGTCGTAACTTCGTTGTTTGTTGCCGCATTTTAGTTCTAAGTTCTAGCATAATAAAAGGCACTTAGAAGATGTGATATGTTACACGTTTTTCCTATTTTACTTTTATGCTCTGTTTTACTTTCGAATTAATAATGGAGCAATCTGTACTGTTATATTGAACTAAAAATAAAAAAGACAAATAAGATTTTAATTTTATGTATATCTAAAAGCAATTTTACTATTTCCGAAGTATCGTACGCTTTCTTCAATCTACCTCATTTTATCAAGTGCCTCTATGTCTTGCCAAAGAATGGTTGTGATTCTGATCTAAGAGATTTCCATGTGTTATTGAATCTTCTGAGTTTCTCCGATTTTCCGGCTCATTGCCGGACTCGTTCATATATTTTTTGGGCCAATGTTCACCGTCAACTTCCACTTGCAGTCAATATACTGGTACATTTTTTCCCCTTCAGATAATTAAATTGATATACTGATTTTTGAAGTTGCTTATTAACGTTTCTAGTTGTGGGGTCGCGACTCGCGAGTATCTGTAGGCCTCGATTTTACGAAAATTGTGGTCGTGAAAAAAAAGTTTGGCAATCACTGAACTACAGAACTAAGTGATACAACCAAGGTGGTGTTGGCAGCCTTCATAGAGTCAAAATTCAAAATGTTCACAATCAATTTTGTAATATTATTAGACTCTGTTTACTGTTTAGAGTAATTCATACTAGATAAAGTTTATATATTATTTTAAATTGAGCGTTTCATAAATCTATATTTTATTTTTCAAAACTTTTAAGCAGATAATAACATATTATACCTAAGTCTTTTACCTAGTATATCATTACTTTGTTCTGAATCTTATTACATCTGATTTCAATAATGCTGTAATTTCACACACAAAATTTCAACAGGAAAGAGTATACAGTGGAGGTATGTATTGGATTGTTTCACATTATTACCGGTGTTAATATACTGATAAATGCATTAGAAGAGAAATAATATTGATTAATTTCAAGTTTTATGTTTATTAACAAGAGTGAACGAACAATTTCCAATCTATAAGTTTTCAGTAATAAAATTTAGTTTTTCCAAACTGGAAAGGCAAGAGAAGAGAATGTGGCTGTTGCTTAGCCTTCAGTAATAAAAGCACGCAGCGACAAGATCAAACAAATATTATGTATTTCTAACCATATGAGTGCCTTTTTTAACATGTCGGATTAGGATTTTATGCCCGATGGGAAAAATTTGAGTGTGGTCAAGGCGACACTGAATAGCTTGGCGGGCCAGGATGTGGGCTGCCTGTTGCACACCCATGATTAAAATGATATGCGATAGAGCATTCAGACCCTTGTTCCAAATGACTGGACAATTTTTTTAATTTTTCACTGTTCTTTTGTGATTCTTAAAATGTCTTCGTTAATTTATTTTAGTGATGTAAAGTACAATGTCTTCAGAAGAGAAGGAACCTTATTTTCATGGTAAGTTTTTATCACTTTATATGTCAGGAATGAATATTTTGTTATATGCGTAAAATCTATTTTGTTTTACTTATTGTTTTGTTTTGATTTGGAAAAATAAATGATGAAATGCTGCTAGATAGTTTCCCAGTATCAGTTTTAAAATCCACCATGAGGTATTTTTTGGTATTCTTGTTGGAACATTACACACTAAAAGAGTATAATCAATTACATGGATTACATTGGGCCTTTTCATGGCTAGTTTAAAAAAGGAAAGCAATATTCATCAGTATTCACTGTTTAGTAGCTTCAGGTGTGTTATATTTATTTGAAAATAAACTGTACATGAATATTGCTTCAAATGAATGTCAATTTACACAAATTCAGTTTGGTCTCAGCTCAGTTGTATAATTATTTCCCATCCAATCTTTAAGAAAGGAGCCAGAACCGGTATCAATCACTACTTACCGGTAATTAATTTGATATACCGCCTTCATGATGTGATTCGCCATCAAAATCTTCTCCATAGATAGATTATGCTCCATGTTCCTATGTATATGTGCTATCATTCAATTTCCTAAACATATGGATGTCAAATCATTAACTTTTGTTTTTAAATATTCTAAAATAGTCACAGTCTAAGGGGTTATTATTGATTTCTTTTCTTTTCTCTTTATTAGGTACCAATCAATTTTTTTCATTTGGTTAAAATAAATGGATGCTCAAAATTAATTAAAGTACCGTAGCTATATTTTAGTCGCCATGGTATGCCAATCTTACAGTTACAGATTCTTTAACAATCATTGACCAACTCCTGTTTATTAAATGCTAACTAATGTTTAAATTGTCACAGCCCAGCAAGTTTGCACTTTGCACTGTTGTCTCACATTCATAAAAATGCACTGATTATTATGATATGCATATGTTCATATAACAGAAGCATTTATTTACTCTTCTGATGATAGGATGATGTGTGTTGAATTGTTAAGATTCAGGAATAGTTATTTTAAACATGTTTCAATGACTGGAATTATATATTGATGCTTTTATCGTGTTGTTTTGTTAGCCTATTAGAATCATCTCATAACTTGATAATAATGTGCTGATGATTTAATAAGAACCTAGATGAAATCACTTATTAGTTGACTAGAATATGTTCACTATATAGTTGAGTATCCATCTTGATTTACATAGTAATATTTGTTAATTAAGAATCTGTTTTTCGGTTCAGAGAATTATGTGGGAAGGTCGAAAAACAGATATTGTTTTTGTCTGTTATAGTAGAATTGTACTCCCTCCATGGTTTTTCGGAATTGCTTGATAGTCTTCAAAATCAAATGCATCATGTCTATGCATCTTCAACTGTTTACTTGTTTAGAAATACTCGTACACTGCTAGGACTAAAAGCTGGATGATACCCTGTCGTTCGCGACATAATTAGGGTTATTTAATGGCTTTTCTTCATTTTTTTGAATGAGAAAAATCCTATCAAGATTTCTTATAGGGGGACCTTGTCTTTGTATATGTGTCTTAGATTTACATTATTCTGTTAGCTGTAGCACATTGATGACATAGTTATATATTTGTCCTTTCTCTTGACTTCATCTATTCCCCTTTTACTTATTTTAAAAATGGACGTTTGTTATCCAAATGATTTTACATAAGTTTTTTATTTCTGTAATCTTATCTTATACAAGGTCTTGTTTTAATGATCTGTAAAAACTCATGTTGCTAAGTCATGTTGCTAATATTTTGAATGGCACATCAAAATGATATTGAAGCTCGTTTTAAGTTTATTGCTGCTGTCAGAAAGTTATTTCATTTAGTACAGTTGCGTAGGTGGCTTTTTCATGCTCTTTATGAGATGTATCCTACATTAAAAGGTAAGTAATGAAAAACTAAATATATATGGAATGGCAGTCTGGTTTAGGATTTTCAGATATTTATTTGAAATTTTCTTGGCAAAAATTTGAATAGGGAAAAATGATCACATGAAATGATTGTTTTTATACAGTTCTTGATATCTGATATCATACTGCTTGTTTGCGATTGCTTCAGTTTAGTCAATATCTCGAAAAGTGTAAAATATTTTTTTATGCAATTTTCTTGAGGAAGGTATAGGACTGATAAGGCAGTAATATTTTTGCCACTGAGACAGTGTTTGGCTTGAGATTCCAACATGAGACTATTTTTTGCCTCTTACTCATTACTTACTATGGACAAGGATTTAGTGGTCCAGGCATGCATAGATCTGAACCAGTGTGCATGATTGAATTTATTCATTTTTTGTTGAATTATAAACATAAATAGGCTTCTTTTTTTCATGCCTCATTTACTATGACACATTGCTTGATAGGAAGATGTTTTAAAAGACTATTGTTGGTGTTCTTGTTTGTTGGGTTTTTCTGAATATTGTAACCTAGTTTAATTATTGAGTCCCAAACTGATTGTGACAAATGTTTCGATTCCGAAAATGATTTTGTTTTCTTTAAAGGGAGTCGTATTTTATTGACAATTCATTTGTAATATAATAAGAGTCAATTACCGTACTAACAATCAATGTATTTTGCTAGTCTTAGTCTGGTATTAATAATACATATTACTCATATATATAATTTATATGATATATTAATCTTTTCTGTAATGAAGAATTACACTTTTAAATTGATTATCTTTTCAGGGCCATCTGTAACACCTAGCTCTGGACAAGGAGGGTTGTACCATCCCGATATGGCTGCATCTACTAATCCATTAGGTCAAATTCAACCTCAATCAAGTATTGCACCACCGCCCCAACCAACACCAATGTTCTATAATCCGAATGATTATGGTGGCGCTGCTTCAAGTCCGTGGAATTTAATGAATGCCATGCCTCAGTCTTCCCAGCAACAACAATATCATATGAATGGACCTTCTATGGGAGATAACACAATGGGTTTGCAAGGTAGATTTTTTTTAAAAAAGTATATTTCGAACAATACTGTACTTTAACACGAATATAATTGATTGTATGTAATCCACAAACAATTGAAAATTAACAAAACTGAAAATTAAAAACACACACACACACACATAAAATATTATAAGCAGTCGTGTTTATTTCTTATGACACTGGCGCAATATCATAGGAGCATCGAGAGTGTTATCGAGACAATTTTTTTTGTTTGGCAAAAAATCCAAAAGCTGAAAATGCACGCTGAACCTCAACTATCGTAGGTTTGATTGTGTTTAGTGCGTACAATTTACGAAATGCACAGTGAAAACTGTTTTAGAATAGCAATATGTCACATATTTAATTGCGGGATTATATTCAAAATAACTTCGGGATCAGGATTGAAAAAAGGCCGAGGGATTTCCCAGGATTGCAACACTAGTACTGATTGTGCTAATTTTGTTTTGAGCAAGTTAATTACCTGCAATGACAGTCTGCAGCAACCCTAATCGGTTCCCATTTAACGTTCGTTCGGTAAACTGTAATAATTATGCGGATAGTAAATAAAACAGTCTATCTCTTCGACTTAACTTGTTTTAAAGTTATTTGTACATTTTGGACATCCCTAGTTCTGTATAATTCCAATTTGTTGTTATATAGTAAATCAATTTTTTATTCTATGTAGTTGAATTGTGGAATATTGAAGTACTTTTATATTGATTTTTCTTGTCTGTATATCATACCCTATTGTCAACAGGTACTCAAGCATATTTTGGTGGAGTTGATTCTAATTCGTCTGCTTCATCAAGTCAACACACATCACCAGCACATGTTCCACATCAGAAAGTCAATGGTAAGATTTACTGCCGAAAGAGACTTCAATTAGCGAAATATCAATTATTCCTAATAAAAATGTTTACATTGTAGTATTAATCTTAATATTCTTATGTAAACACTTTAACCATTGTTTAAAAAAATATAAATAAACTGAAAAAATTTACTTAGGTAAATACTAATACTACAGATATTCATATTTTTCATTATTTATAACTTTTATTGTTGATTCATTTATCTCTCAAACATTCCACATTGGATCATTTTGGTTCAGTATTTGGCTATGAAACTATTCGTTTAAAACAACATTCATTAAAGATATAGTATTTTTGTGCTAAAAAATTACCCGTATACTGCAGTATCATTGTGCAATATGTCACTCCGATCAGTAAATCGATAGTTTGGTTATCTGTATATTAAAACTAATTTACATGGTATCTGAATATTAGGCTTTGTAAGTATATGTATATATTACGCTCAATAAGAAATATTTTACCATTTTAGATGCAAAATGATATTCCACTTTCTGCCATGTTCTGTTGTCATGAGCACTTTTATGTAATGAGTCAGGTAATTACGATAACTTAACTTTCTGTATTTTATTTGCAGATATGCCTCTTGAAGCTCCTCAATATGAACCACAACTTTATTCTACTAATGCTAATGCGTTATTCCCCCAAGCATCTAACATATCACCACCAGCTCAATCTTACAATCCTCATTATGTCGCATCGGAAGGAATGAATTTATCTAATACAATTCCACCGCCAGGTGGAGCCTCTGGACAACATGGATACACTCATCCGACTGCGTCTGGTCTCTTTGTCCCGAATTCTGAAATGAATAACACTCCTCTCCAGAATTATATGAACCCCGCTCAACACGAGCCAGCTTCTGTAAGTCCCCAGTTAAATCAGTATTCTGGTAATATACCTGATGTTATGGATATACAATCACACATGCCTGAACAACATGATGAACAGAATGAAATCAAGGTATCATTGGTGTTTCTTAGTTTCAAACAATTTTTTGTTACTTCTTGCTTAGGGAAATTTTGTGGAATTAACTGTGTACATTGGATATGGAATGCTAAAAAACATATTTCATTGCATCGCTCAGTTATATATTCATATTCAGTTCGAAATATTTATGTCTGTGTGCCATGTTACTATATTATTAACCGTAGCAAACCTGTTCTTATCATGTAGGCCTACTTCCAAATTATTCATTCAATTTCAGCTTTTAGTCCTGTGATTTGCTTCCTATTCTGTTTCATCATCTTTTTCTCTCTTCATCATTTATTTTCCTTCATATATCATGTATAGTGAGAATTGGTATTGGATTGCACTGTGACCATGATTTTATTTATGTGGTATTGGTTAGAACGAACTGCCCATCACCAGCTTAGCTTATATTATTTGGGGCTTCTGATACAGGCTTCTAACCATTTATGTACTGATCAAAACAACATATATTATAAAGTATGCATCTCATTCAGGTTCTATTTTAGAGTATTTAATTACAACTTAGTTAGTTGAAGGCCTTTTTTGATTCTCATATACTGCTTTACTCACATGCAAGATTTTCTATTTCGTTTCTATATTGTTCATTTATTATTACTTTTATGCAGTATGAAAGCGTGAGTCCAATTAATCCTATGGATCTGCATAATGGAACTCATGCTACAGATTATGTCAATAATCCTGTTACAAGTGATCAAAGTTATATGAATATGGCTTACAGCAATCACGATACAAACTATTCAGGAGGTAAGTAATAAATGTTTCAAATTTGCATTAAGCTTTTTCAAGTATTTGTCATTTATTCTTTCATATTTATTGGCTTGGCAGCCCACCATCAATACATAGTTTACTCTTTGGTATGGGGTATACATATATATGTATGGGATCATATACATAAACCCCAGAGTCAAGGGCAACGGCAGATTGTATCATTGCGACTGAAACGCGATTTGGACTTATAAATCCAGATATAGTCAATACAAAGTCTGCTTGGGAAGGCTTCTGGGGGGAAACAAAAGGCCGGCGACGTAAGAGGGAACAGAAATTAGCTGTATGTCTGAGGCATGGAAACTACAATTATTCTGTGATTTGGGTGACTGCGTATTATTCCAGAAGAAATATGTTATACAATATGCTCATCTGAATTTATAAAGAGACCTAACATTTCAGAGTATCAAATTTCTTTCAAGTTTTTATAGAAAATTATGGTAAATCTAATTCAATTATATAATTTCTCAATTCTTGTTCAATATCAGAACATTAATATTATTTATTCAGGTCCTGTCCCTTCTCAAATGCAACCAGTAAATGCGTATATAAGTGGAGAATTCCAGGTCGATGCTTATCAGCCATCCAATATGATGATACCTGCTTCATCAAGTCAAGATTATGATATCCTACATTCACAGGTTGTCTATACTCTACTGAATTATGAGTGGATAATTTCTTGCTTAGATTGTTCCCTATCAAGTCAATGAATTTGTTGGAACATGTAATCGAAATATTTCAATTTTCAAATGATGGCGTTTACTAATGCTCTTTATATAGCCGCAAATTCAAATAACTAGGTATATTATGTATACATTTTACTTAAATAAAGTCAAGTATATAAGTTTAAAGATCCAATTTAGTTTTTGATTATGACTCCAATTTATACATACTAACAATTTTTTTCAAAAATTAGGGTACTTGGAATGAACACAATCAGGTTACTGTTTTGGAACATGCTCAACAAGATATAAGAGGTGCTGAAGGATTGGAACAAAGGGAGGAGGCTCGAGCGGAAGAAGTTGTGACTGGTATGTTTAATAAGCCATCATTTTTTTTTTACTCCTTTAATAGATACCCCATTGTGACTTGACATCAACTACTCTTACCTGTAACTACTTTTAATAGGAAATTGAATAATTCTGCTGAATTTTTGATTTTGTTAAAGCTAATTTTATGATAATGATTGTTTCAAAACCTTCTGAATGACTGTAAAATGATATTTGACTGTAAATGATTTTTTACCCGTTATGATTTTTCCTGTTATTGGGTTTGCTAATTATTTCTAATTTTATTGCTTTTAGATGATATGCAACAGCCTGAAACTTTTTCATCTGAAGAAATAATCCCAACTGATGACAAAACAAACAAAGATAATCTAGCAGAAGGACATTCACAACAGGTAAAAACTTGTGTGGGTTACAGCGAAATTTCAGATAAATTCTGCTTTTGCTACATCTTGGAAGATTCTAGAACTAAATCGATGCAAAGGGAGATCTAAATACTTTATTATTTTAATGTGGCGCACCTCAAGGAGAATTGATTAGTCCCTTTTTGTTCTTATTTTAGGTCTTTGATATGAATGCTCAAACAGAACAACCGCCACTTCATCAACCTTCAGTATCACTTTACGAACCTGTTGGCGCTTCAGTAGATAGTCACATCTCACCCCAACAGATGCACAATCCAGGATTGCACATGGAAACTAATTCTGTACAGTCTCATTTCTCAAATTTGAAACTTTCGGAGGGTGACGATACGATTAATAACAATGAAAATGGATCGTTACGACCTATGAGCCATGAAAACCACCCAGATATTGTTTTATCACCTGAAACTCGACAGGCTAATTTACATTTGAATGAATATAGTAGGGGATCTCCACCACCACACAGTGCTGCAGATTATCAAATTGAAAGCAATCAACAATCATATGAAAGTCAAAACGATCAAAATATAGGTATGTTCGCTCCAACTTCGACTTTGATTTTTTTTATGTATTGTTTGATGAAGTGTGTTGTGTATATTTTGATTTTTCATTTTGAATTGACACATATTCAGCTTTTTGACTCTAGTAAAAAAAAATACCCTTTTGATTGTTAAAGCTATTCAAGTATCAGTGTAATTTGGGTACTCCCGTAGATAGTGTACCAGGTTAGGGTTAGGTCACAATTTTATTCCCATTTTCCTCATTTTAGTTCTATTACGAGTTCGGGACTGTCTGTGTCAGCCAAGTGAACATTCCCCCAGCCCATGGGTTTCAGTCCATTTACACAACTCCATGTAAAGTAGGCAAACAAAAAATTAGTTACCTCCATATTGGTACACATATTTCTGGAGCGGCATAATTTGAATGCACCAAAAATATCAACTTAACCCAGAATTCCATTTTTTAATTTCCAGCCAAAACACAGAATTTAATCTTAATTTAGCTATCCCGCACTTACCTTTTATGAGAATTGTTCTGTTTTTGTCAGTTATCTATCTAGAATTCTATAATGAGCAGTATATATGTACCTATGTACCTGTACCCATGTCTTCAATTTTTCTTTTTTCACTAATATCTGTATTCATATAATCCTTCAACTTTATATTTTGCATCATTTGAATTATCAGCGCCCAGTGCATCACATCAGCAATCGGAACATCAAATTTTAACGTCAGTGCCATCTATGGGAGAACCTGAACCTGAAACAGCTGACCCTCCCCAAGTGAGTGAAAGTCCGATTCCAGCCGATGGACTTCATCCGAGACAATCGGACGTTGTTGATCCGGGACCACACCATTTTGCGTCACCAACTTCAGCTTTTGAGTCTCGTATTCGGAGCCAGAGCACAGGATCTAATAACAGTAATGCATCATCGCAACGATCTGCTACTAGCCAAGCCAACCGAACTACCCAAAATCGGAATATACCTTCTGGATCTGTGGCCAATCCTCCCAGCTCACAGGAATCTGCCGCAAGACAATCAAGCGTCCCAACATCGAATCCTTTTAGTAAGTTATGATTGTTGTAAAGTTACCTAAAAGTTTCTGAATATATTTATGAGTGTTGCTATTAGTATTACTGTTAGTGTTTATCCAGTAATATCTGAATCTGTACAGAGTGAGGTTTTCAGAGAAAGCTATATAAATATATCAATTATCATTTAACACTGATAAACGTTTTGATATTAAAGCTTTTCTATATGTTTATGTTGTGTTAGGTACAAATACAATGCATTCGTCACACCTTGGTAGTCAACTAGGGGCTGCTGTGAGTGCTTCAGCTGCAGAACCGACTATTCCACCTATTCCAGACATTGTGCGACCATTACCTAGCGAACAAGGCAGTGAAAATCTCCGAACTGGGGCTACAGTGCCATTGTCGTCAAACCATTCTTTACATAGCCAAGCGCTGGGACATAGAACTATGTATTTGCCGGATCCACACGCTGTCTCTATTTCCACAACACAAGCTTCCTCCACAAGATCTCAGCCCGATGTTATTCAGTCACCACCAGAACGAGAAGCCACTCGGTTGCAAGCGTCTGCTGAAAATACTCATACTGTGATGGCACTCAAGACGAGTATCCCGCATTCTGGTAATCCACCGGTATCAAGTGCACCAAGTATTCCGACAGTTTTGCAGCCTACTTCGGTAAGTAAAATTATTTTTCAATTTCCCTCGGGATAATACGACTCTGTTTGTTCTCGCTGCTAGAGTTGAGGACAGCCATTGCATCTCTCGTTTTACTGTACAATGTCGCGAATCCAAATATATGAAATGAACGTGTAGAATTGATCCACTGTTCACCATGATTTATGTAATCACTGAATTCTAACGGCTTCAGTAACATCTATATATTTTTTTGTCAAACGCTTATTTGTACATTTCGCTCTGAACAAGGATATAAACAAGCAGCAACTAATATCTAGGGATATGTAGAGATTTATTTTTCGAAGGACCATTGCCAACCCAATTGTTACACCCTCAGTGAGGTGATGAGCAAATAGTCTACTCAAGATCAAATGGACGTCATTGTTCGCCATAATAATCAAACCTTATTTCTCTTTTTTTAAATCATATCTAAAAATTTTTATACTTCAGGTAAACAGCGACCCGTACTTATCAAGATCTTTATATAACACTCACTCCGATCAATCTCAATCACAACCAGCTGCTGTAAATACTAACAACCAAGAACATACTAATCCACCAGAAGTAGAACAACCATCTGAGAGGTAGTCTGCTTATATTACATATCTTTTACTTTTACTGTAATCGAAAGTGGTTTTCAGCATCAGTGAAAGGGAATTGGAACAAATTTGCATGACTAAGGATAGATGCTTAAATAATATTCAATGAATGGTTAAATCCGGGGTGTGCCCTTGGGCCACAACGCAGCCTGTCAAGCCATTCAGTGTGGCTCTTGTCGACAATTAGATTTTTCTCCATCGAACATAAAATCCTAATCCGGCAGTTTATCTTTAATTTTAAATATTACCGTAATCGAAAGTATTTTAGCTCTTATAAAAGTAACCTTTCCAGTTTCATGAGAAAGAATAGAAAATATGTTCAGTGTGTTTTCAAGTAGACTTGAAATGAAATTTACATGCCTCAGCATGGATGCTAAAATAATTTTTGAATGGTTAAATCAGGGTTAGTGTGGCCCTTGTCAACACTCAAATTTTTCTCTATCAAACATAAAATCCTAGTACAGTTAGTGTTTAAAAAGGCGCTCAAACGGGTAGATATATATAATGTTTTCACTTGTGTTTCTAAAGTTAAACGTTATATTGTGATAATTTTTTTTAATCTGTTGTGTACTTGGAAAAACTATATTTCTTTGTGTGGCCCAGCTAGATGTTAGTTATGTGCTCCACCGACAAAAAATATTGCACACCCCTGATTTAAATCATGAGCATAAGAGGTATGAGCTGAATATTTCAGGGCATTTGTAGTCAACGTTCCCTCTAAAAGCTTGCTTAGTTACGGGGAATAGAAGGCCATGCCCATGTGAGCTCCAAAAGAAAGGTCTGCGCGGAAAATTAGAAAGAATAGAAAAGAACACAACATTTTAATACTTATGCAGTGCGTGGCAGAACAAAAGTACTGCACGGGAATGCTCGGCCAGCTGCATGGCCGCACAGCTTAGAGGGAACGTTGTTCATATTTATTTATTGGGTCAGTTTAATGAAACTATTTATGGAAAAACAGCATGAATCTTTTTTGTGTTGTAGAATTTTCTATAAATTGTGCCATGAATATCTTAAATACAAAATTAATTCAACCCCTAAAGATGTGAACGTCTGTTTGTGTATGATTGTACTCAAAAGATTTAGTTATCCAGGACACTTTGAAGTTATGTTTCTATCTAGAATATGTTTGAAATGACCTGGGTTATGTTTTGTATCCTTGTATCTAATTATTAAAATTTAATGATCAATATTAACTTTCATATTCATTACAGTATTTTGACTTGATACTTGACTACATTGAAATCTTCTTATGGTTTATTGGATTTCCTCTGCTTAGCTGGCTTTCAAGCTGGCTTAGCTTACTTTTTCAGTAGCTATTGACATTATTTGATTTTTATTTACAAATATGTGAATGTTGTATTTTTACAGAGTTGTACCATTGCCCACTTCATCGTCTGCGACGCATTTGCCGCAAGCAACAGATGATGGCCCCTCTAGGGACCAGGATAATAGTTTAAGACAACATCCTTCTGAATCTCACAGACAAGATGAGGATTCTTGGTATCGGGGACAATCGGACCGTGACCACTACAGTGATCGAGGTGAATCCCGAGATCCAAGAGATTCTCGGGATCCAAGATGGGACGATTATCATCGGAGACATCCAGATGATTATGAAAGGCGGGATCCTAGAGAGGATTCTAGGTATTCTCGCGATAGATCATGGGATCCTAGAGATCGTGATGACAGACATTCAAGATACGACGAGATTCCCAAAGCAAATTCTGAGCGCAACTCGAGACCTTCATCAAGGTGAGTATAGAACAAGGACATACTGTAAACAAATTAGGGATTAAGAGAACAAGTTTATTTGTATTTAAAGATATATTTTTAAATGTGGATAAATCATACAATAATTTATTTGTAAATTTTCCCATTTTTGCCGTGCCATTTTCAAATTGATGAAACTTTACATACAGTAAATAATTTAAATTTGAATGATTTGCTTTTAATAATACCCTTAATTTCGAAATTTTGTTCGATTTTTCGCATATCATTCAAGTACTATGAATAATAACAAGATCGATACTCAAATATATGGACACGAACTCCGAAAAGCCATAGTATGCAATCTGTCAAGTAGACCACCCGTACCAGCTGCCACGATGTCGTAAAAAACGTGGAAGACAGTCATCACAGTGTCATAAAAATGTGTTCCCATAATTACAAATTATACAGCGCATTTTAGATGAAATATCAGATTCCACAGTAAATTTAGTACCTAAAAAAAGTAATAGCCTTTAACAAAAAATGCAATTTTTAACCACAAGCAATTGGTCCAGTAGTGAATAAGAAAAGCGATTATTTTCATAAGGTAATTAAGAGCAGAATAATACCAACAACATAATAACAAAACGATCCATATGCCACTTTGTGTCCAATATTACTGCAATCCTTTGTTGGGCGAGCAGTTTAATTACACTGTGGATAGGGTGATGGACATGGGTTTCACATTCCAGATCTATTATCTGTGACGCTAATATAGTTAGGCTCAAAGCTCGGCTATCACGTCCACAAATTTAAATGATAATATATGTTTTTAAGGCAAGGGGACCCAGCTGCTACTAACTACTCAAGACGATATGATGATAGGGACTATGGAAGAGAATATGACCGATATTATTCGAGAGACAAATATTATGATGATAGATATCACGGTGAGATGAGAAATATTGAAACAATTTTTCTTGTTGAGAATCTTCCCAAATTTACTTCAAAGTAGTAAGGCTTTAATGGTAATATACTGGATGATAAACATACACAAACAGAAGTTTAAGTGTTAATTATATTTTTACATTTTTATAGAATTATTGACAAATTTATGGGCTCTATTTTTTGGGTCACCCGGTAGGTGTTTGAAAACCTGTTTTCATCTGATCAATCTTACTTGAGAGTTGTATCTAAATTGAAAAAAAAATGTGAATGCATGTTTTTTCTCTAGTGTATATATGAGGTGTTGAATTTATCGTTTTGGAATTTACTGTCAAGACGAGAACAAACTGGATATTAAATTTAAAAAATATTGTGTATAAGTTCACATAGTTGAAAAAAATTCTATAAAATTGAGATTTGCTTTTTAAAATAGATGGTTAAATGCTGTTAGAGAAACATATTGTGATGTAGAGAGTCGCCTAAAACACAGAATCCCCCAAGCCCTAACTTTTCTAATTACTTCTACAAAATGAAGAATATTTCTTTTTTGAATTAATATTTATATCCTCAGTGTATGATTGTACCCAAATCTTTCAGTTTGTTCTGGAACACTTTGCATCAAAATTTTGTCTTTCTGGAATATGTTCAAATGACTCTCGTTCTTTTTTTTTCCTGTAATTCTGCATTACATTATTTGCAATGCAGAATTAAGTTGTTTTTATTGTTTATTCGTATTTCCTATTATCTATTCTGTAACTAGTCAACTTCACTTTTTGATCTGCTTTTTTGTAAACCACTATAAAATTTAATTTGCCATTATATTATATTATTCCCCGTTTAACAGATTATGATAGAAGGGATCCATACTATCAGTCTTACGACAGAAGAAACGATAGATATTATGAACAACATCACAGGTAAATTTAACTTCAAATAATGTATCGATTCGTGAGCTTATGGTAGTGGTTAATGCCCATCGCTATTTTGGTTCAACAATACCATGCCAGCTTATTTAGTTATACAGAATTCGTAAATTATGTTTTTGTTCACTCAATCATAAAAGTCCTTATTCCGTTTTATTCCAGGTATCCTGATGCGTATCATAGAAGAGGTTATGAAGATTATTATTATGACTCGTATTACAATGACTATCGATATCATCGACGTCCGGAAGATGAAGATACGAGAAGCGTTTATAGCGAAAGGTCAAGGGTTAACGAACCTGATCCGTCAGCAGATAGGAATTGGGAATCTAGACAATCATATGCCGATCAAAGCCATTATGATTACAAGTAAAAAAAATTTTGTTGCTATAGCTATTAAGTTTGCTCTCAACAAGGCTCTTAATAATCACAGACCTGATATGAGTTTCCTGTATGAGTTGAAAATTTTTTTCGGAATAGCCTCACATTTCATTACTCTTTATGTAAGTTGAAGGGTATGGAATTTTTGAATTTGGTTAGATTGAAGGAACTGATCTTTCCGCTATTTCGAATATGGAGTATCAAATTTATTAAATGTTTAGTTAAGAACACATAGAAGTTCACGTATATTCGGTTGATTTTAATTGAAAATGCAGTGTCATTATGATAGATAGTCAATGATTTGACTGGTTATCTATTTTTACTGTTTTCAGAAATCCAATTATGGCCAATTTGGGTTCTACTTTTATAATACAATTGTTTAAAATGATTAATTTTTTTTTAACTAAACTATTCAAAATTATTCCCAAAATCAAGAATTTAAATTATTGAATATAGTTAGTTACTTTTAGAGCGTTTCAAATAGAGGATGTGTTTTATAAACATCCCTATCGAAAGCTTTTATTGCCTGAAAGTTACTGAATACTTTTTCCATATTTACAGCTCTTCGCATGGCTACGACAGAAGATATTATGATGACAGTATTATGGATGAATCTACTCTATCTAATACATATGATGAATCATGGCAAAGGCTCCCCCAAGGTAAAAATTTTAATTTATTTCTCTGTTAAAAAATTGTGTTTTGACCAGTTTCGTAACAATTTTTTGGATTTTCTTCAATTTCAAAGTGTTAAAAAATAGCTTATCTGAATTTGCTTTCAGTATGCTGTTTTTAGCATAAAAATGCAAATATTTAATCGTTTATTTTGCCATTAGTTTTCACTCTTATGTTATAACAAATGTGCAGTTTCAAATTGCATTTTGAAGGCTTTAATTTGTTTAACTTTTTTAGTCTATAAAAGTTTAAAATTTTTACACAACTTTTAAAAAAATTCAATGAGCATTTTCAACCGTAAGATTGACTTAACCACAGAGTGAATATTTTCTTATTCTATGTTTAATTAGTTGTCGATTTCTTTCTTTCACGGTCATTTTTATATTTATATAGTTCCTTCAAGACAAACACCAGCGAAATTTTCAACTGCACATACAATATTTCGTTTTGGACCTGGTGGACAGTTAATCAAGGTTTTACCGAATCGTCCTATGGAAAATCAACCAACTACTGTTGAAATTCACAGCTTGGAAGTAAGTTCTGCGTTCAGGAACAAGAAAGCTATGTTCAAATATATATGTACACGAAAGCCAAAACGAAGCAGTAGTCTACCTTATCCTATACACTACCTACCAGTAGTCTACTGTACGGTACGGTCAAAAAGCTTCAGACTTTCGCGAAGCACGAGAGAGGTCACAGAACTGGTGCAAATAATTTTTATTAGTTTTGAAAAGGTCATCACACAAAAATGAAAAGTGAAAATTGAATCACATAAAGCCCACAGACAGTTTTGAAATAAACAAGAGCCTTCTAGCGAAAAATACATTCTTCACGTACTGAAAACTTCGAAGCAATTGTAGTTAATGAGGAAAGCGTTGATGACAACAACAAAAAAAGTATCAACAAGAACAACAACAACATAATAACAAAACGATCAATATGCACACCCCGTGTCCAACAAGCAGTCACTGGTTTTATTTTGTTTTTATCTTGATCTCAACTGTCCCACTAACTATGTTGTCACAATAGTATTACTAAGAATTTGATCATGTAGTATACAAATGGATATCTGCGTAGGTGGGTTTGTGTGCTTGAAAATAACCAGGATTGTGATATAATAACCTGACTCAAAAAGTTTTCAAACTCTCTGGATTTGAAACCGAGGCAGAATTTAGAATCATTCATAGTCAAAAGTCAGGATTTTAGACCTTTAATTAATATTAGTAATTAGAGTCTGAAAATTTCTAATGGAAATTAAAAAAAAGTTTTTGCCACAGACAATTAAATTGGGCATGCACACACAAAAAGTGTCGTCAGAATTTGTTTTTTAGCGTTTTTACTTGGAGTTCGAAATGTGACAATTGTAAGGCTGATCAGGGTTTAAAGCCAAAATCTCAAACCTGCAATGCCATTATATCGAAAGTTGAACAACAACTACGTGGAATAACATATAAAATCATTTTCAGATTATGTTACAAGGAAACCCAGAAGCTGAAGATTTACGATCATATGCTGGACCTTTATCAAAGTATGTTCCTTATTTTTACATTTTATTTACACCACATATTTATAGTTTTTTCCATGTAGGCTACTATGGTAGGGGTGTGCAACATTTTTGTCGGTGGGCCATATACTTCAGACATATAGCTGGGCTACACACAAAAAATTAGTTTTTCCATGTATACAACAAATTGGAAAATTAGTGTCAATCAGAGTGCCGCTGGAAAGATAAGATGAAAGAATGCTAAATGGCTTGGTGGGCCAGATTGTGACCCACGGGCCACCTGTGGCACACACTTCTACTATAGTATATTTCTTAAACCAAAAATAGGACTGTACAAACTATACTATGTTTCAGTCCACTATGAATTACAAAATCATTGATGTAAATAATGATGTAACATGCTTAATATTGGAATGATTATTGGTGCAATCACAATTGATCGGGGGCTGCCAGTCTCATTAAACCTTTTATATTTGATCACTACTTAAAAATGATTTTGTTTATTATTGCAGAGAAAATACTCACAAGAATGACGTTCTACAATTTGTATCATCAAGATCATTAGAAAGTATGAAAGATATGGATTTATTAGACAGACGTTCCACTTCACTCATCTGGGATTTTCTTGCTTTACTTGTTAGGCAAAATGGGGTAAGCTCTTGTTTAAATGTCTTTTTGGAATAGTGCTTTATATCACTGATAATCTAAATATTATTCAATATTATTTTGGATGAATATATGTGTAAAACATGTTGGACACCTCCCTATCAAAACGATATTTATTAACTATTCCCTTCACCTACATTAGCACGAAATATATGATTATACAAGGTTGTCTCAACTCGCTCCCAATCCTGCTCTAAACAAGGCCTTATACAAGAGCCACTGATATCTAACGACCTTCTATGTTTTGAATGGCCAATTATCATTACAATTCTGCATTGCTTTCCCGATTTATTACACCGCTGGGGAGCTGGGGTTATGGGATTGCACAGTTTAGTTAACTGTAACGATTTAACCGTTAGGCCATTGCACTGCACACTGCACATAATTTTTAATTATTTTCTTGCATTCAGTCTGTTCTTGGTACTGACATTGCTGAGTTGTTGACGAAAGATCATTCTGGAAGTTTTGATTTATTGCAATCACCATTAGAAGCAAGTAGACAGAGACAACTGCAATTACAGTTACATAGAACTACTACACCTAATTCCATATCAGGTATGCAAATCGGCTATTTCTAGGACATGATTCTCAGATACTTCTAGCAAGATTTGAGGTAATTGGCTATAGATTTTCTTACATTTAAAAATGGCAGATGTATTTAGTTTAATTGTCATTCTCAAATTTTCTTCATTACTATGTTTGTTAATAGTTTTGTTCTGCATTTATGCTCTATTACTGCAAAATTCCACTTACGATTACCCAGTTTTTTTAGAAGATAATTTTTTTAGAATAATTTGTTTCGTATGAATGGGTATATATGAGAATGTAGTTTGCATAGGATATAGCTGTACAGGTAATCTTCTATATTCAATACACCAACATATTGTCGCAGTATAACCAAAAGTAGGTAATGTCACATTTTAATGAGGTTTTGAGAATATCGCACTTTGGTAGTTTCAAATTCAACAGCTAAACTTAAAGTCAAAACTAAAAAAGGTTTAACTTTTAAACTCTGGCAAAAAGATAACCCTGGCCCATAATGACAGAAGATGAAAAAATTCCATTAATTTAATTATAATTACCGGTAAGCAAATGACAACAAAACGCAGAAAAGTTGATGCTAAGTGCAAAAGGTTCAATGGCGCTGAAAATATTCAAATGGAATTTTATGAGATGCAATGAGGAAATAAATCTATATTCTATTTGAGAGCTGTATCACTGCTTGATTTTTATTATAAAAAGTACCATCTGTTCGGTTTTTCAACTTTCTAAAAATATGTGCGGCCCGCCAAGGACTTGCAACCTTAATTTTAGCCCGCAAGCGACAAAAGGTTGCCGACCCCTGCCCTAAAGGTATGGGAAACCCTGGTTCATTCAATTCAGTATCATTTTATTTCCATGTTTTATTTCAAGTGGATACCATAACCGGAATTTGTTCAAAGCAAAATATTTGGGATCCTGTTTAAAAATTTATTTATTATAGATGATGCAACAGCTGGTAGTACAGCTTCACCAGTACCTGATCATGTCGAGTCTAGTTCGATTCACAGTGTTGAGATCTTATCAGCTGCGGAGAAAAATTGTAACAGATTTCGAGAATTATTACTTCATGGCCGAAAGAAGGTGATTATTTTGGTATTTCAAGGAAATAAATTTCAAGAATTGACATTAAAATATTAATTCGATGAAATTTTTTCTTTGACCTTTATTGGAGCAAAAATACTAAATTATGACAAATTTTATTGTTAAAGTTATGGGAATAATATAATTTTACTCCACTTAATTAATTTGATTAATTAGACATTTCATTTCCATTTAACTGCTTTTTAAAGTGCATTTAAATAATTCTCATGCCAGCAAAATAACGCAATAACTTAATCTATCATGATAGGATCAGTGTGACACCAGTACTTCGTTGTTGTGGTTAATGAAAATAAATAACTGCTCTTTTGTATTCTGTAGTAATTTAGAAATCAGAGTTACTGTCTGTTCTTTGTATAATTTTCCATTTTTGCAACAAGAATTTCGCAATGTAACAATTTTGGCCTTGTCACAACTTTTTTCAAAAATTAAACTCAAGATAGAATTCTGAATATCTTCATATTAGTATACATCTTTGTTACACAATGATAATTTGTCACCCCTTCGATTATCCATGAATCCTCCGCCATCAAATCCTTACATATTAAAGAAAAACTGGCGAACTATTCCAGGGAACCATATAAAAGAGACTGTAGTTTCCCAAAGTATTAATTCTTATTTTTACCTTTCCTATTCCCCGGGATTAATATAAAAATTCTATACTAGTTTTTTTTTTTTTTCAGGATGCACTTGAATGGGCAATGAAGATGGGTCTGTGGGGACATGCTCTTTTACTCGCAAGCAAAACCGACAGTCGTACCCATGCTCAAGTTATGTTAAGATTTGCAAACTCTCTTCCTATCAACGATCCGTTACAGACTGTTTATCAATTGATGTCAGGAAGGCAACCTGCTGCTGCTACGGTACCTTGGCTCCTCGTTTTTGATTCATTGAAATTTGTTCATTTTTAAATAACGAGTGAGCAATGCTCAATTATATGGACGAAACACCCAAACAAAGTATGGGTATCTTATCTTTCACAGTATCGGTACGGAAATTCCATTTTGCCCAGAAACCAAATATTTTAAAGTATTAATTTTTTATGAACGTCTTTTCATTATTTCCTCCTAGTGTGTGTCTGAAGAAGGATGGGGTGACTGGCGTCCACATCTCGCTATGATTCTATCAAATCCTACAAGTAGTGCTTCGTTAGACATGAGAGCCGTATTAACAATGGGAGATACATTATCATCAAGAGGATTACTTCACGCAGCTCATTTTTGCTACCTAATGTCATCCACACCTTTAGGTTATTACGGTCGACCAACGAGCAAAATGGTTTTATTGGGTGCCAATCACACGTAAGTACAGGATGTGGTTTTAAATTCGGCTTGTGTTAATTTGTAGTATATATCTTTCATGTATGGTCTGATGATGAATATTACATATTGCCAGTAGGCTGTGTGATATAGTTATGTTTCGATCTACCATATAAACCTAATATTCAACTGATCGTGATTTAGGAAAGAAAAATTTAGTTATGAATGATATCAATTATATGACTTCGTTGGTATCTATTAAATCAGTCAGGCATGAATTTTTGTTCGTTCGCAAGAACTTATGAAACATACATTTTGCCATGTTATTTTCAATACATACAATAATGTTATTTTCTACGGATACGTTTCTAAAGACTAGTTTGGAATCTTTTTGATTATATGAATTCTGTAGAACATTTCAATTGAAGGGGTGAATCCCCGAAATCAGTGTTCCAAGAACAACTCATATTTGACGAATTCGATAAATCTAAGGAATTTTGACATCACAAAAATTTGAATCTACTAATTTAATCCAGCAGCTTATCTCACATTTTTATGTTCGCGGATTGTCGTGATATTAATGGTTTTCTTTTGTCCACGCAACTGTTAGTTTCGTTAAACGCAATTAATATGCCATAACATTTTCTGATGGCTCCACTAACAGGTGGAATAATCGTGGTGACTGTTTCAGAAGCAGTTGCATTGAAATTTCCGAGGCCCTGGATATGTATTTTGAACTTTCTTTTTTTGAAAATTCTGACTGCACCCCTGTTCCCTGTATCCATATATTTATTGAACACCTAGATTATCATTCATATTCTTAATGAGTTCTGGCGTCTATACAACAATGTTTTTCTATTCAGGTTATCTTTCCTTGAATTTGCTTCCCTGGATTCAATAAGAAGAACAGAAATCTATGAATACGCCATATCACTCGGTAAAAATCAGAGATCATCGGATGCTGCTACTGTCTTGCCGACTTTCCAACTTTACAAATTTATTTACGCATGTAAACTGGCAGAATATGGACTTATCGCTCAAGTGAGTATACTGTTAAAAGTTTTACATTGGGAGTCAATTATGGGAATCATCTAGGTTTTTATGTTATCAGAATGTTGGGTACTCCCGAAGTATGTGAACCAAGATGGTGGACACCTGAACATAGTATGTGTATCAGGTTACGGTTAGGCCATAATTCCAGGTACAATTATTACGGGAGTCACTTGGCTAGTCCCCTAACTCGAACTAAAATAAAAAAAATTGGAATAAAATTATTGCCTAACCCTAATCTGGTACAGATACTACGTTTCGGTATCCGCCATCTTGGTTCACATACTTTGGGAGTACCGAATGTTGCATAATTTATAAAGATTGGAAAAAACATTGATTTATTTAACATAAGGTAAAGCGGTAATATCACTCATAAACAGTAGCATGTTCCTGCTTAACCATCATCTAGCTCTAGTTGTAAAGCAATATTGTTAAAAACGTTATGATATTTTGTGTTAGCAGTTTCTATATAAATACATTATTTACAGGCTTTACATTACTGTGAACGAATTGCCAAATCAGTGTGTCGAAGTCCAACTTCTTATTCATTTACATTGGTGAATCAACTGGTGAATGTGTCAGATCAGCTTCGGCATCACGACCCACAAATTCACGCTGGAATGGCAGATGGTGAAAGCCCAAGGTGGCTCGAAACTCTTCGTAATATTAACAGCCAAATACAGGTGAGATATTTGCCGTTAACCTCAAAAATACACAATCTTCATAGTTCATATTATAAAGCATGTTCCATACGTAAAACTTGAATCTGTCATCTCATCAGAAGTTAATTTTTAGTGCTTTTTTGCATGAAGTGGCACCAATCATAATATCACATTAAAGTCTGTCGAAAACGAATACATTCAAAAATATTTCTATTCTTTATTTAATACTAGAATGTTTTTATTTCAAAATAGAAGCTATTGATATTTTATATTCACACTGAAAACAGAGTTATTCAAGTACCTATAACTGTAAAAAACCAATTTGAATCCTTTTTTTTTTATTGCACCATTACGATAATTAATCTCTAAAAAAATACTATATTTGGAGATGAGCAAAATCTGCTATTGTGAAAACAATATTTTTGAATCTGGAATATAGAATTAATTATAAATTGGGTCACATCATCAAAGAACATATATATAACTCAACGTATATATTCCATGAATTTAAATTTTGAAATGGAAGTTGAGCAATCATTTGAATGGTTTTCGGAGTTTTGGACGATTTTTTCGAAATAGAACGATGGTCTTTTTGATCTTACTAATAGACTTCCTTTGCTCAAACGAATAATTTTTGGATGATCTTAAAATTAAGAATTTAAAACAGTGGTTCCCAAACTTTTTGTGCCACGTCCGCTGTTTAGAATTTGTCAAGTTCGCGCCCCATCTAAAACAGATAGTAGGGCAAAGTTATGTTGTATTCGAAAAAAAAAACGTTGAAAATACATGGAGGGAACGTAAATATCCAAAATTAAGAAATGTAAATATCCAAAATAAGACTGGCAAGATCAGATCTAACAAATATTTTTATTTTTAATCAGCTTCACGCCTCCTCAAACAATTGTCTACGCCCCCTTGTGGAGCGCGCTCCACCGTTTTGAGAACCACTGATTTAAAATATTGGTTATAATTAATTTGAATCCATTCGTTCCGAACATTCCTAATTTTAGTACATATTCAAAATGTATTCCGAAATATAATATTATGTATTCTTATAAAACATGGATTCAATTTGCCCATCCCTGTTACATACTTAGCATGTTGCTATGTTTATATTTCTGCAAACAACAGTGTAAATTGATAGTTCCTAGGACTGGGAATGATAAGGTTAGTAGGATGATTTGTCTTTGTCGTTTTTATTTCAAAGGAAAAATTGATCAAGTTTCTCATCATTTTGAAATGAATTGAAATATTTTAAATAATTTGCCTTGAAATCTCTGCTTATTATACCAAGCTTGGATAAAACGCATTTTTATCTGAATATCATGCTTGGTAGTTTTTGTTTATTTTTCACCAATCATCTATAATTAGAATTTTTATTGAATTGAAAAGACTGATTATTGCACATAATTGTTTTTTGTTTCCAATTTTTTGCTTTGCTATCCGATGAATATGTTGTTTTATTTACTTTAATTATTAGTGCTAATTATCTTATACTTCGTTAAAATGATTTACTGTCGAGTGAAGGTCGTAATAAATATTCAATTTAGGCCGCAGTAGTCGTTTCAATATGTATATAAAACAACATCAATTCATTTATCTACACCAAGATTATTTATGTTTATTAATTAGGAAATTTTTATTAAATATTTTAAACGGACAAGACATTCTTTAATTTTTGATTTAATTTATGAAACAGTTGTGATTTTCTATTTGAAAACTTGATTTGACTTGAAAACTGTGTTAAATTTTCATGAAAATGTAAAAAACACTGATGAATTTTGATGTGTATTACGATTGATGATTTTACTATATTCTCAATTTGTTTCATTCCTTTTCTTGACAGAGTGGTTTGATTGTGCCGCGTATACATGGGCCATCTTCATTACTAACTGTTTCCAATACCCCATCTATCGTATCAACGAGTCCAACTTCGGAAAGTCCTAACGATGAAATACGGGTGAGTATTTTTATTAGGATGATAGCAAACTTATTCTCTGCTGCGGGCCGCTTTATCAGTTCATCTATGTAAGCAGGCTACACTAGTTCTTAGTCATACAAACACCATTGAAATTACATTATAATAAAAAACGTACGGTAACTATCAGTTGTACTTGTAGGTATGCAAGACATATACTAAACTATCAGTTGTACTTGTAGGTATGCAAGACATATACTATCCTTCTTCTATGCCAGGGGTGTCTAACAGGTGCCCCACGGGCTACAACCCAGCCAGCCAAACCATTTAGTGTGGCCCTCAACAACAGTCCGATTTATCCTCATCCATCGTAAATTCCTAATCCAACAGTTAGAAAGGCGCTAACATTGGTAAAAATTCATAGTGTTTTTCTGCTTTTGTCGCTGTGTTAAATTCTTTACCGTTTTGCCCAGTGCCTTTATTACTGTAAGGCTAAGTGATAGTCGTATTCTCTTCTCTTGCCTTTTCGGCTAAATTTTTTATGTGGCCCAGTTAAATGTCTGAAGTTGGTTATGTGGCCCATCGACATAAAATGTTGCACTCCTCCAGTCCTCCTAGAATTTGGCTTTGTGTCCACATATAGCCTTTCTTCTTGTTGTGAATAATCATACTTGAACAAATTACCTCAAATTCACCTATACACCAATTTACTCTACTTAAAAATTGTTCTTAGTTTTCTGCTCATACTCCAGAACAAGATGACGACGATGTACAAGATTCAGGGTTGCCAGATTCGAATGTGAGTTTCTTGAATGACTTGATATCTTGATTGTTTATTATCTTTCGTAACGAATGGAATCTGTGTGTTCTGGAGGCAGGGCATGATATGTTTGTTTGTAGCTTCATGTTTGAGAATTAATTTCTTGTCAGTTTGACGTCAAATAATGAACTTACCAGTTATTAGGTTATAATATATTAATATAATGTCAAATTATGAAATTCGATCATGGTTTTAAAAATATGAAAATTTGGTTGTCTGTAGTGCTGTGAAGTTGGGAGTTACATGGTATTGTAGTAGAAATCGTATTTCCGATTCTTGGTAGTTGGAGACAAAATTTTGAATTCCTTGGAATCAGATCTGAAATATTAGACTTCTCTAAATATCGAGTCATAGTTTTCTGCATTTCAAAATTTTGTCTAAAGGAACTTATTAGGTACTCCTGTAGTGTGTGTACCAGGTTAGGGTTAGGCCATAATTTTATTCATATTTTCCTTATTTTAGTTCTATTACGAGTTCAGGGACAGGGACTGTCTGTGTTAGCCGAGTGAATAAAACCCTCTGTCCATATGCTTCAGTCCCTTTACACAACTTGATATAAAGTAGGCCAACAAAATTAGTTACCTCCATATTGGTACACACACTTTTGACAAAAAAGTATTCTATTTCAATGATACCTTATTATTTTCCTTTTAGCCATCTGTTCAAAACTATGGCCACCATCAGCAATACAATACTGGTTACCAAACTCAACAAGTTCAGATGTATTCTGCCACAGAGAACCCATCTGCTGTTCCTACCCACGATCCGCATATGCCTTCAAATATGATGATGCCAGATGGAGCGATGCAACAACACTCTGAAAACTATTCACAAGGTAAGATAATGAAAAAAAAAATTTTTTTTCGAAAACTTATGCTAAATTGCTATTCTAAAGCTGTTTTTCTGATCTTATTGCTTCAATTTTTGCATCAATTGGCATTCTTTGGGATTACTACCCTACCATTATTCTATATGGTTTAGCCTTTTTCTACGTTTGAGTGTCGTAGCTTTGCTGCGGAGATGAGTCTTTTTTACTTTTTAGTGAGTATGTATGACATTGCTTTGAGCAAATTTTTATAAAAACCAAAAAGTTTCCATTTTTAACTCATTCTTGTTTTGGGTTTAAAGTGTGCGTCCAAGTAAGTCAGTTTCCGAGATTGGTCAAGAGTCCATGTGTTTATGAGTAAAACTTGAATTAGTGAAGTTGAACACTAATCAATCATATTGTCTTAGTTGAGAAATTATTATCAGAAAATTTACTGCATTAGAAATGGAATTTTCACTTGTTGTTTTTGACTGTAATTCATGTTCGTATATCACCTGATAAAGCATTGAGTATGTTTGCACATATCCACTCGCTCAATATTGGAGAATGAATGAAAAGGATTTTCAATCTCCTCATACTCTGAAAATCGATTTTTATTGTCCGAGCTAGTTTGTTTACATTTTCACTGATTAGGTTTTTCTTGTTCGGAGCTTCTGGGTAATTCTGATTTTCGGTTATTTTAATTTCCCTGGTTGCAGGACATCAAAGTCAATTTCAACCACAAGGTCCACAAGGATATGGAATGCAATCAAACTATCAGCAATTCATGCAACCTAGTGGACAACCGTATGCTCAGGTGAGATATTCAAAATGAAGTCCTCAGTGTACATGAAAGTGGACCTATGTATTGTTTTACTCAATGTCATTTGTGACGATTTCCAATTCTTAATGAAGATAGATGAAGAATTACTGCTTTTTTTTTTAATTTTTTCAAGTTGTCCGAGAGTCTGATTCATAGGCATAATGCGCAATAATGGAATACATATGCTATCGATTGGTGGAATATTACTGGTACATTTAGCAGCAAAAACTCTTCAACGACATAGTAAAATATTAGGTTTTTGAGATTTTATATATTAATTATATATATATTCGGCAAAACTGATTATTTTTGTCATACATATTATCTGATTATTTTCAAATGTAAAAAATTTTCACTCTATTTATATTCTAATTTTTAATTTTGTAATATCAATTTCAGCCATCTGTACAACAAGCACAAGGATTTGAACATCTTGCTAATCAAGCAAATCCTCTGGCCTCTGCCGGATTTTCTGCTCCAACATCACAAACGATGTACCAACATCAAAACAACTACGGCTTTAACACAGAACAACAACAACAACCAGATGAAGAAGCAGAAAGAAATGATCAAGTTGATTATTATGACTATATGTCCAATGCGGTTAGTAGAATTGAAAGCTTCAATGATATCATTTTCGAATTCACAATGAATTACCTATTTTTGGAATGATGCTTTTTGATTTTCCCATATCGTTGCGGCTGTATAAATCGTGATTTTGGTGATTCACATTGTCTAACATATAGTTTTTTATTTGTTGCGGTGCTCTTAATACAACATTTATGGTGTTTTTTGCTTAATGACCATTTTACTTGATCTTACTTGCAATTAAATCACATTATTTTTGTGTGAAGTATCCAACCGGAAATAAACAAATTAAAAATGCCTGTTGAATTTTGATAGTCAGGTTAGAGGCAACAGTTATTCCGTTGTTTATTATATGCAAATTCTATCATACACTAAGAAAAGCTTCTATTACTTGGTTTTATTTTAGAATGTATTCAATATTTCATATTCAAAAAAAATAATTTCGAATGTATTCGAAATAGTGAATTTTTCGATATTGGCCATTCCCGGTATCAACTTTTTATTGAAATATTTGAATATGGTTCAAACTTCAATTAGAAAACCAACCAAAATGCTTTTTTTTCTCATGTCCAACATTTGCTCTTTTGTCTTGAAACCTTCGAATTGTGTGGTGTTCACCTTTTACCGTTGTCTGCTATCATTATCACAAACTAAACTTGCATGAACATATTATCTAGCATGTTCGTGACATCTTACTAATCCATTAATAGCACAAAGTACATCACGGGGGAAGAGCTGGCTCACCAAGGTCTCGTACTGTTTCACAAAGTTCTCAACGATCTAGAGCAAGCACATTGAAGGGTTATGATCGTACAACGCCTACTTCTATGATGAATCATACTGAGAAGGCATGTTGCTTGTTTTTACAAGTCATTTGCATTCATGATCATACTGCGGCCAATCCCGGCTGTTTTTGTTCGGTTTCCCAAAAATGTTATGTCCTGCATGTCCCACTCTTTTTTTCACTCGTCCAACGATATCGACTCAAGTTTACTCACCTTATAATGAGAGTGACTAATGTGAATGGGTGAGAGTATCGGCGAGAAATGAACATATTAGAGTAAGAAGTTGATGGACCGAAGCTTGATGTCTAGTTTGTAACTTTTATATTGTCATAATTGAGCTTCAGCTCAAGATTTCCCATCTTGTAATAATAGCGTCACTGGGACAAGTGATATAAACTGTGGGGCATGCGGGGCACAATAGTTCGAAGACGTATGTTTTTTTCTCAACGGTCACAATTTCAGGGGAAATTAGTTGTTGTGATCAGCCTCATCTTTAATCAAACAAAGAATCCATTTATTTGAAAATTACCATTTTGATTGCTGTATTTGCTTTTTACAAGGCATTTTTTACCATTAATAGGACTTTATGTAGTAGATTGGTTCAACTTTTTTTCTAAAATTTAGGTGGTTTTCCGAGTTATCCGAATAATTCGAAAATCATGCTAATGCAATACTATCAATCAAAAATATACTAGAATTTGAATGTCATGATCATAAATATTTGCATATGAATTCGCAGCAAGGTCGAAGGTCAAGGACAACATCCGAAAATTCAACCGGTAGACGATCACGAAAAACGAGTGGAGAGCAAACTCATCAATCTAAACAGAAAAAGAAGGATGATATAAAAGATGATACAGTAAGTTGCTAAAACTGATCCGCTCCAGAGCTGCATTTTTATTTCAGAGCTGGGCTACTGCTCCATAGCCATTGGGGTTTGTTAAGCTTGACCACTACCATAAAAAATATCAGGCCAAACCTAGTTTTGCAAAGCGGGACTCTTAAACTTCAATATAAGGGTTTCCAATTTTAAAATGAAATACTTAATATGTAAATTCAAGTTGAACCTCCAAATTAATACCAGAAATTGAAATTTATGAAAAAAAAAAATACAAGCTAAAAAAGGATAGATCATATTATTTGTATTAGTATTAGAAAATTATAAATGTTAAAAAAATTATTAGTTGGTTAAGAGCTGGAGCCACTAAGATTTCTGTTAGCTCCAGCTCCATCTAAACGCTCCAGCCCTTATTATACTAGAATGTCCATATTGTTTATTAAAGCTCGATCTGTATGAATACATTTTTGTTCCGAATTACTGTGTAACATAGCTCAACCCATATCTATTTACATATCGGAAAGTCTCAAAGTCTTTTTGGACATTGTCAAACAACCTACAGTATGATCAAATATATATTTTTTCATATGGCGCTTTACATCTCAGCATTGCCCACCCAATTTATTACACCTTGTAATGAACCTTTGATGCCAACACAGCTGAATCTAACACTTTAACTGCCACAACATTGTGAACGTTTGATGTAGGAAATGCTTTTCTGCAAACTTTATGTACCGCTGGGCCAAATATTCAAATTGAACGGTAGTAAATTCTGCCCATAAACAAATGCCGCATTTCGGTATTTCGACAATTGAACAACATGCAACACACATGTGCTCACGCTAATTACCAGAAATTGAACGACCTACAATGCCATTGTTGTGACGTACGTGTGCAGATAATGAATTTTTGAGCAATTTTTGTTATTTAAAACCAAGTCATTTGAGGGCCACAAAAAATTTTTCAGCAGGCCGCAATTTGCCGACCCCTGCTCCTCCTTATCATCAAGCATTGCTTCCCATTTACTACTCTCTCTTTCTATTGTTTTCATTAGGTAAAGAAATCAGGATCTTGGTCGTTATTTAGTTGGTTGTCAAGAAGAGCATCCAAGCAAGTGCATTTACCTGATGATAATAATAAAGATGTGAGTTTCCAAAATGCCAAAATAATATTTTTAAATTTATTATATTCTGAGTTCACAATTAGCAGAATGAACGTGTGGAATAACATGTAATTCAAATTGGAAGAAAGTTAAGAAGATAAATAACAATTGATTAATGGTTTATTTCCTTGAGTTCTCAGAAAATTAAATGTTTTTCCCATGGTGATAATTCAAACAAATGAAACTATCCTAAGTTATCCCTGAATTCAAGAATTTCTAATATTGAATCTACGTTCAGCTGATCGAAATCAATGAAAATATTCGATCCATTTTAGCCATCACCGATTGCACATTGTAGAATATTGTACAATTCCCAATAACCACTCAACAATTCTCTAGATTGTATGGGATAATGACCAGCAACGATGGGTTGATAAAAATGCGACAGAAGAAGATTCTGCTCCATTGGCACCACCACCTATAGATGATAATAAAAGTCAGGCAATCCATCAAGGTCAAAATCAACAACAACTCGGTCAAGTCCCAACTACCGCTGCCCCACAACCACTTGGCCCTACACCTGGTATGTACTTGGGAATCTTTTTATAATTACCATTTTTCTTCAAAAATACTATCCATTTTGCTCTAATCTAATAAACGTTTTAAAAAATCCTCTTTCTTTTAATTACTGGACCCATGAAATTCGTTTTTGTGTGCGATGACGTCATCATAATTAATAATTACGCACCCTGTGGCGGTTCTACATGCGCATTAGTTGTAGTCAGGTCGCGCCGTGGAGACTTGTGGTACCGTTAGTCTACTGTGACAGCTTGCATACCCTTACTACTTTGTTTTAGCCTTTGTGTCCTTATATTTGACTACCACTCTCTTGTTTTCCAATCAATAGCCATGGGGCAGCCTTCCTGAAAACTCTTGAATGAAGTTTGTAGTTAAAAAGTCCAGATTCTTTCAGACTCATAATACTAAATTCTAGTTGTTACATTCTTTTTCTGAGCTAATAGCTGAATTTAAACGCAAAATTTTCAGCGTTCGAAAATATAGTTGGGATCCGGCAACTTAATGACTGCTTTTTTAAAAAGCCTGATATAAATCAAATGATGTTTACATGAATCAATGCAATTTCTTCAAGAACTAAGAGCTTTTTGAGAACAGCTGTTTGAATTAAAATTGTCTCGTGTTCTTTCTCGATAAACAGCTCTGTGACAAAGTTTATTCCATCAAATCAGTTTGCTCATTGCCTTAATAATAAGATAATGTGGATTTTATCAGTCTTTCAAGTGGTGGATTTCTATTTCAAATTTTCATACTGAATTTTGACAGAAGACAAAGAGGCAGATTTCATTAGCAAGCTCAATTCATCCAGCGCACCACCAATGACATCATCTCTTAAACCCACAGTAAATGGTATAAACAGTAGTTCTCCGTCTGTGAACATCTGTATTAGATTTTTTTTAGGGATGTCCGATAAATTTAGGTGAATTTGCACTTTAATAAACTTTGGATCCCAGTTATCATTTGTCTGTGAATGTTTTTGGATTTTAACATGATTTTATGTTAGAATTTAACAGAGCAATCAATTTCAATGATTTTGTTAAAAAGATTCATATAACATTTTTGAAGCCAATTCTATAGCTTGGATATAATTCTGAAATACTATTATATTCTGATATGGGCAACCAGTTCAACAGTCATTTCTCTCACATTATTCGTTGCTGTCATGTTTCAAATAAGCAATTGTAATAAGTTTTTTAATTTACATATTCATGTAGATTAATGTTGTAGCTGTGTAGAAATTCAATCATGGTATCCGATGTTTCTTTTCTCGGTGTAACACAATTCTTCCATACATAGATAGATATGTTGCATTGTTCACCTCTATCAAAGGGTTAGAATGGATCAAAAAAACTTGTACCTCCAAAAAAAGTTTTTCTTGTCAGCCCTCTGTCGGTGTACCTGACAGACCAAAAATATTTGATGAACAAATTTTTTTTTTCCAAGAACTTTAGTTGTGTTTACTGATGAGCAATTATACACTATTAAATTTTCTATAGTCTCAGTAGCTCTTGGTACTTAAGCCTGGGCAAATTGAGCAAATTTAAATAGAAAAACAGAGCCTCTTTATATTTTGTATGCATTTATGTTTTAAGGGACATTTATTCTGTATATTTCAGGTGAAGCTCAACTTACAGCAAATAGATTCTCTTTGAAAAACTTGGGTGAGAGCAGTTTTCATATCTTTGATTTGGCTATTTTATAACTATTTAAGTGGTCCATTATGCAAAAAAAAATTTAAAGCAAAGTTATGATATGCTACAAAAATAAAACTCCGATTGGATATATTAATTTTTTTGGAATGATGAGAAAAATATTTATATTTGCCATCAAAAGTGGGATGACAGTTCATAAGATTCGTAACGATTTCTGATATTTGAATTTCAGAAAGTCAACACACCCCTGAGGTCCCAATATGAGTTAGTTCTGATTCTGTTACCATTTTGCCGGCACAGGTTCGAGACTTGCTTAGTTCAAAAGTCGATCCGAACCATCCACTTCACCCAGAGCGTGAGTTGCGTGTCTTTCCATATGTCTTTCCACTCTGAATAAGGCTCTTTATAAGCAGCCACAGATAGTAGGGAACGGAAAAAATAAAATCTCCCACAACCAACCATCTTGTTGGGTTCTTAATATCAGTGAAAATAAAATTAATCTTACTTATATTCCTAGGAGGAAATCGTTCAATGTATAAAAATGCCTTCAGTAGTTCGAGTACACCAGCTGTTGCACCAGCACCTCCAGCATTACTGCCTGGTATGCAGAATACAAATCAACCCAAATTTACAGGGTTTATGGTTCCTAATCCAGGTAAGTTTATGAGAGTTATTTTGTTATGGAATCACATTTGCTTTGTAAGCTTCGAGAGAGAAAAGATTTATTTTAAAAAAGATTTATTTTAAAAAAGATTATGATAATTTCTCCATATTGGTACACGTACTTCTGGCGCGCCGGTTCGAGTATAGCTGTGACCAATTAATTATCCTGTATGTGTTGATGTTAAGAGTAAGTTATAACTAATCTAAGGTTATATTAAATGTTCTATTGGTGAGAAGAGTATTAATTCTCTCGAGAATCTAATCATTGGACTCTGTTCAAGCATCTGTTATTACAATATTTATTGTTATATAGTTCCGACATCACAACCAACTTCAGAAGAACCTACACCTGCTGCTGCCAGTACACCCATGCATGGACACAACTCCAATGCTGAAACAATTCCGGTACGATTTTGATTTATATACATCTTTTATAAAATCATCTATGATAACGCATGGTCCGTCAATAATTTGGGCCTTTCTATGATTAAAACATGGGTAAAAATGAAAATTCGGTCGATGATAATTTTTCTCTTTTCGATGAATTCATGTGCATGACTGCATGTGTGTTTTGTGCATTCATTTATCAGATGTTTACCCCCGGTAACACACCACATGGGTCATCGATTGATTTCAGACAACCTTTTAACCACGGTGGCGGGGTAAGTAAAGTTTTTTGATTTATTATTCACAATAACTGCTTGTGGGTATATAATTCCATACTTAACATTTTAAGTGTGCGGGATTTTAATTAGTTGTTTATTTACGTCTAGATGCTTAGGTGTTCTTATTTTAAATTTTGATAGCTAGATATCGCAAAACTCTTGTTTTTATATGACGTATTTGTATGTGTTCACTCTGAGCAGTGCTCCGCATAAGCAATCAATACCAGGTAGGAAGTTGCTATAGTTTTGCTGTACCAGATCTTTCCGGTTTGGCATTACTTACCCAATTTATTACAGTGGTATTGTTATCTTTGGTGCTTTGAAATATTTGTTGGTGTGTCGGCTGGGTGTTGTAGCATCTTTATTCATGGTAAACTTGCTTTCAATGGTGACCAACTCATACCAGATCTAATGTTATAAAGCAATGTCAAATGGAAGTGGGCAGTTTGATTTTCAAACTGGTTGTTTAAAACAGATTTAATGACCCAGAAATCACTATGTACAAAAACTATATTACACAAATTCTTAGTACAACAAGGTAGAATATTCTAGTGTACAAAATGAATAAAAAGATTCTTTACACATAAATTACCATGTTTTACATGCCATATGGCTGTTATATGGCGCAACCAGTACTGTCAAAATTTTGCTTAGATTGGGTCTTTAATCATACATAAGGCACACCGGACTATGAGGTGCAACCAGTACTGGTACTGGTTTTAAGTGTAGGCAATAAAGCACTACCTGATCCATACATTAGGCGCAACTGCTCAATAAGACGCATGATCGATATTTGTGAAAAAAAAAATTAAAGTGCGCCTTATGGTCTGTAAAATACGTTAACCTAAATGGGCTGGTGTTTTATAAATTAAATAGAGTAAGCAATGACCTATGGAAAAGGGTTTGATTGTCCTTCGGCTATTCATGACCATTCATGAATAGTAATAGAGGAAAAATCATACTCGCTTGTTCTTTTGTGAAATAAAATATCACAATGCCCTTTGGGGTTCCTAATATTAATCACATTTGTAACAGTAGGCCTATATTGTATTTTACTTTCCAATATCCTTTAGAGTGAAAATAGTTTGCGAGATATAAATGTCGTTTCTGACGATTCCCAAGCTGTCACTTTACAAACGGTATGAATGGTAGAATGTAGATACGAAAATTATAAAAGATTTTCTGTGATACAATGCTTTTAGTTTGATTTGGTCAAGCTACCGCTAGGGTACGCTTTATATTTGTCCCATGCTTGGAAATAAGTAACTTATAATGTACTAGATGCCAATGGTAGATTTCTAGGTAATCATAGGAACTTTGATAGCTTTATAGATTAGGTAATTAGATCAGCATTGCAATGGGAGACATCCTCATTGCTTGTTTGACTTGCAACCTGAGGTACTGAATTAATAACTAAATTTTGAAAATAAATTATTTTGATTTGCATTTTAATCATGTTCATGTCAAGTAAGACAGGAATTTTATATTTATTGTTGCCAATAAGAATCATATGATATCCTGATTCCTGAAACAGCCTCCTACATTTGAAGTATATAACCAATCATCTTGCGACAACTTACCTCCTATATTTGGGTACATGCTTTTTTGAGCATTGAACAAATTATGAAAAAAGACCATAGCCAGCTTTTATTTTTCAGAAGTAAAAGAAAATAAATCCGATAGGCATAGCAAATCATGTGATGCCCTTATTTGGAAACCATTCATATAATCATGATTATAGAATGTTAACCACTTTATCCTTTTTCTCTACTTTGGGGAATACCATTACCAGTTTACATACTTGGCATAATACCTGGTGATCAATTGTGTTGTAATTAATTAACCAAATTATATCTCAGCATTCTAGTTCAAGTTCGCTTAGTTCATCTGCTAGAGAAGTTCGAAATTTAACAAGTGTATTGGAAGAAGAGGTGACATTATTGCATGATCTCTCTCACACACTTTGAAGTTTCATAATTACCAAACTACTAACGCTATATATATCTAGGGCATGGCTCTGCAATGATTGTATGATATGTATTTGTATGTTCAATGTGAAATTTCGTTCCAACTAAAGTATCTATGAATTAGCACACAAATGAGTAATAATCTTACTGTTTTGTAGGGGTAGTTTGTGTTGTTGCTCTGAATTAGGCTCTCTACAAAAGTTGACTTATAAGTTTGGTTTCGGGTTGGATATGCGATAAGATGATCTGTAGGGGGATTGAAACTGAACATCTATTATCTATCGACCCAGGATGTTATTTTGTAACGGTATATTCAACGGCCTATTCTTCAAATGAAATCTTCTTTAATCATTTGATTATGACTCTATTCTTCATATTCTCTGCGTTTTTCTTTCTTGGATTGCGATAAATCTCATACATAATAGTTAGCCTCGATACTTGACTATGATTCTTCACGAATATCACACTCAATGTACCTTTCTTATCACTGGAGAGAATTGTATCAGTCACAGAAAAATTGCTTGCAATGTTAGATTATGAGAAAAATGAAAGAAAAATTACATTTTTTAACTATAAATTGAATTTATTGGTACCTATTTATGAAGACCATACAATTTGTATGGTACATATTGAAGCTTGACATCTGTTAAATCACCTATTATATGCATGGAAATCATCGTGTAACCGGCCTTTGTTTGACTACTAAAGAAATTGACTTGAATGCCTGAATATCAGTTTTTACCACTCTTAATAACTTAATTAAATTTTGTTTAGCATTAACTTGAATGAATATATGGCATGCTATTAGTTTAATAAATTAAGTTTTTGGGATAATTATTTATATTCATTTTTTCAGATTTTGTAGTTGATTATTTAATTGTATGAAATAATTTTGTTTACCGGTAATAGTTATTTAGAATGGTGAAGATGCTTAGTCGGCATCAAGAATTCATCCTATTTTTGACAATGAAATTCACTATGTACATGGTTTTAATATTAAAACATCTCACATTGACATAAATGGAATACATTGTATTGAAGCATCAGTGAATAAATTTTTTTATTTCTTTGTTTGAAATTGGACATATGTTTTGAAAAGATTTTTAAATGCAAGTTTGCCTTTTAACCAACAAAATGTTATGATCCTTTTGTGACAGAATCTTCTCCTTTTTCGTAGTATTCATCCTAAATTTTCAGACCATATTATTAGAAAGTCTATATCTGTGTATTTAGGTATAATTCTATCCTATCAAAAACTGACTTTTTGAATACATTGAATTTCAAATTTTCTTTAAACTGATTCCTAATCACTAGCTAAACTGTTCTGCTAATGTTGTAATGTATATCTTATGTTCTCAAAAATTTACTATTTGAACATTGCGAAATCAAAATATTTCTCTGTTTAGGGTTCCAATTTTGTTAACGAACCTCAGCTATCTGCTGCTTCTGGAAACGATAATGCTGCTTCTGGACCAGGACCAACCATGTTTTTTAACCCAGCACAATTTTCTGCCCCCGCTTCTCACCCTAGTATGCCATCAGGTGGGGGTAGAGGAAATGCATTGAGACGGGGTAGAGGCCGAACAGGTGGATATGCTGGAAGGCGATGAACGTAATAATTCCTGCATCTAAGTACTGTAATCGTGCTTTAAGACTTGTGCGCATTGGATTCTATACTTTTTGTTTGGTTGAAGATTTATTGTTGATTTATGTGTAGTCAAGTATGATTCATCTGTTTGGGACTTGATCAAGAATAAATATGATTGGATCAATTACTACCATATTTAATTTGAAACTATAGTTCACTTTAATGGTGGGTATATTTCCTAGCATTGCAAATCCTCGGCAAGAATATTACATGAACACATAGAAAGTATGTGAAATTTTTTCACGCTAAACTGTCTCATGAGTTGGTTGACACTATTCAATAATGTCTATTATGCTTAAAAAATGCTCTTTCAATTTTATAAAATGCAATGATAATGGAACTATCATTGTTACAATCGTCCACCAACATATAGTGCAATTTTGTGTGTTGTACAGAGCGAATAAGAATGTTGCTTTCTATTCGAGCAGATTATTTTGTTTAACATTTTTCTTTGCCGCAAATGTGTTGCGTTTTACTATTAGATAATAGAGAAAGATGATTGGTTTAATATATTGTAGTGAATGTTTCTTGTACTAGTCCAGCTTTTTTCTTCTATTTATGATAACTTTGAGGTTAAAAAAGGCAACATTCTTTGAATATTCATTGCGGATATGTCATGACTATCTGTGCGTCTGATGTGATAATACAACATTTTATTGACTGTATATATAAAATATCTAAATTTAAGGGTTCGAGACAAAATGTGAATGTAGAAATTTTAAAATATTATGAAGAAATAGGTGTTCTTTAAACTGATATCTAATCATTGTTAGAATTGAAGTATTTTAATTAAAAGTTAGTTTTAATATCAAAATTATAAGTTTTCCCAAAAACTTTTCAATTTTCAGCCTCAAAATTTTGTTGCTAAAACTAAAAGTACACTTTAATTCTTTTAAATATGTTATTAGTAATTTGGCCAACCTGCTGCGAGTTTCCGTGTTCCTATGAATATTGCAAAGATAGCTGTACAAATATATTTCTGTGCTTTATGCTGTGAGCAAGTTCTTGGTGTATTGCTCGCATATATGGTGTGTAGGTGAACGGCTATAGTATTTTAATTATTATTTTGTGTGCTTAGTAAGACTAGGATAGCCATGACCATGTTAAAAAGAATTGGCAGATGTTTGTTTGTTGTAGCATAATTTTTTTTTCCTTTATTTTGTTTCATGTCTACGCTTATTCTCAATTTGTGGAGAATTTTGAGGAATTCACTGAAGTTTTTCTGTTTTTGCTTGTAATTGTAATATAATGCATCATAATTAGTGTCAAAATCTGGCTGATATAATCGAAATATGTGCAATTTTAGCGTCATCCGTTAGGCTAACAATTACTATTTCCAATTGTTTGAGCATTGGTTTGCTTCTAATGTAATATTTTTCTCTTGTTCTATATTCTGCTCCAAGAGGATTGAAAAATTTGGTTGATCCCAATGAAGAATATGAAGAGTTCATGATCTTGTTGTAAATTAAAGTATAGTCCCGTTTGGTTGGATTTATTGATGAAAATAATAATAATGTTGGCGATTAAGGTTCAATAAAGATATTTACGAGTAATGACTTGTGGTCTATTGATTGCGAATGGGACCGTCAGGCAGAAGGAGAGTTGTGACAGAATTGTTACTTGTGAAGTGTCCTAAATGTACGCCAAATTTGTTGTTGTAACCAAGTCTACTTGGATGAAGAATAGCATCCTACCAAGTTTTGTCTTTGCATATAAAATGAAATCTCGATGTTGCCACCTCGCCGTGGTTTTGCAGACTTTTCTAAGCGCTGACAACGCCTATCGTTGTATCCTATTAAAACCTGGTAATGTCATGTCCTAAAGATAACAAGACGCTCTAGAATAGATTATTTCTGATCCGGAGGATAATTATATGCGACAAGGTTGCTGGACTCCTCGTCGCGTTGGGTGGTTCACGGCTGGTCGGCAACGGCTTTCTCCACCATCAAAAGTAATTTCATACCCGACATGGACTGGTAACCGAACGATAGGCCGTCGTTCCGCCATATGGTTAAGCCGTGGATAAATATGTAAAACCTACCTTGTGGTCCGAAGTCTTTAAACATGTTCGGTCATCCTTCCAATTCGGTCATTATTCATTATAATTTCTCCTATTATATCCCACAGAGAGGCGTTACCGGCATGAAACCGTTGGAATCTGATAGTCTGATTCCGTATTGCAAGAAAATGGGGTTAAAAATCATAGTCTACTCTGTCAGACGCAAGTTAGTTACACACTCCTGGCCAGTAATGACGCATATAATGAATAGAATGTGCATGATGAAAGTTGCTATGTCAAGTACGCCATTGAATTCAACAAAATATGGTAGAACGACCTCGAAAGCAGTTATGGTGAGATTAAAACCTCAAACTTAGCCGTGAAAATCAGGCGACAGTCCACACATTTGATTTATTTTAAATAATCAAACAACTAAGCATTGGTAAATCTAACATAAATATTGAGGTAACGGACGGATGTATATGATTCGTTTTCTGAGCAAAATACAATGCCTATGTATATCCCACTATTAAATATCGTGCTCACAAGTGAAGTGCAGAGTATATCCAAGTAGTGTTCCGAGTCTCACACTTTTATGTTTCTCTTGGTACTCAGCAGGTTCCATTGTTCGTTACTTAGACTAGCATAGGTAACTTGGAATCAGTGAGCATTCAACACAACGTTTTGCTAAACTTCAGTAACGTTACACGTTAGTATTGAATTGTTTCTACATCATCGTGTATACCACTGTCTTTGCTATCCCCACTGTTTGGTCGACTATATTCTGAAGAATTTCGCTCAACGGGACGAGAAATTGCAGCGGGAAGACTGACGGAATCCGATCGTGCAGAATGAGACTTACGTCCTTTGCGTTTTGTCTTACCGCTAGTGCTTGATGTTGCAGACATTGATCTTTTTCCACAAGGTTCAGAAGTCCTGAGAAGAAATTGAAATACTAACCAAACTCTAGAAACGTGGCTTTTAACCAGGAGTACAAAGACGCTGAAATAGATTTTAGAGGTGAGCTCTGAGACTGAGGGGTTTGCAAGCATAAAGTAAAATGAGAATATGGCCACCTGAGCTTCCTGCATTCAATAGGATTTCGGTAACTTTTTCGGGAAACAAGAAATATAAAAAAATGGAACCATTATCCTAAAAACAAGAATTAAAGCAATACATTTCACATATAATGATGGATGCCAGTAACTAAAAATCGAACCGTATGAGAAAAAAAAAATTTCACCTGGGTGGCGTATGCTTCCTTTGATTCTTGTTCTCTACTCTACGCCGTTTAGTTGGTTTCATTTTTCTTGTCCAGGCATGAGAATACAGAGGAACAGGAATGTCGTCCGAAAATACTTTGTAATATTCGCGACTGTGGAGGTTGTATCGTTCCATATTTGGCAAAGGATCTGTTGAAAAATTTGAAAGAATTCCATAACAATCACGAAATTATCTATTTACGTAATCGTGAAAAAGATCGCACGATGCAATAATTAATTTTAAATATTGTTCACAAGAATTTGCAATTTTTTAACGTGACCAAAGGATCTTCCGTCTGGATTCAAAGACTACTTTCTTTGCCTCACCATTTATTTTGTAAATTTCGAAAAACCCGTTGTAAACTGCCGTGAACAATTTCTCCGACACGTACCTCATATAAAAATATATAGTATGTACGTTGTGTACGGCCCAAACAAATGACATTGTTGACGCTACATTGCATTCAATATAAACTGTGTAATCGTATCGGTTTGAAAAAAAAATTCTGTTTTTCCATATTGATACATTTTTGCATAATTACCTTTATTAGATGAGTTGGTTTGTCCTGTACTCATAGTACGTTTATAAATCGGTGTCGGAGTTTCTGCAGCATTAAAAATATTGATGTTGCTATTATTATCATCTGACGCTATTATAGGATTCAAATTCCCTTTACTCTTATCTGATTCAAATTTGTCATTATGAGTTTCTTGTATCGTTTTTATTGCAATCAGTTTTTGCGAGTTTTCGGGAGAGATTTTTTGCTCTGGAAATTCAGCTTCAACAATTTCATGAACAGGAATGCTGAGCTGAACATCAACTTTCTCTGTGTCGTAAATTTCCATTGTTGGATAGTTTAACCCGAAAGCATCACGTGATAGAACAGCGTCAGCTGACATTGGTCGTCGTAAATCTAATCCTGATGATAACGATATTTTGTTATTCTCCGCAGAAGATAAAGGCCTGACCCGACTAGTCATTTTCCGTAAATGAGCACGAGAACGCCGAGAAGATGTCCCATCGCTACGAAGAGATGTCAGAGAAAGACTTTGATGAGAGAGTGAAGTTGAATGGGTCGAAACGCTACACTTTCGATTTCCAATATTGTACCTGCTACGGTCTGGTGACGACATAGGCGATAGTTCGTCCAGATTAGCGAGTTTCTGTGAAAAGGCATTTATATATATACACGAGTTCTTCAAGCACAAGTTAAATATTCAAAATAGATAAACAGGCATTAATGTCATCGGATCAATGTTCTAAACTAGCGTCTCTAAAACGGTGAGGCGCCCCACAAGGGAACGTAGACAAATTTTCGATGGGCGTGAAGCTAGTTAAAAATAAAAATATTTGTTGGATTTGGTCTTTCCCGCCTCATTTTGGATATTTACTTTTCAAAACTTTTCTCTATTTACGTTCCATCCACGTATTTCTAACGTGTTTTTTGAATAAAACATACTTTCGCTTTACTATCTGTTATTTGTAGCTTATTGCTAGCTAGCTATTTTTGAGTTGAGCGCGAGACATGACAAATTCTAAAAATGGGGCGCGGTTTAAAAAGTTCGAGACCACTGTTGTAAACGTTGGGAACAAACTCCCCACTTCTGACTATCCCGACTGAGATGAGAGTACTGACGTAGAAATAGTGTGGATCATGGAACCACTAGCTGGTTACGGTTTCCTCTGTTATATATGTCCATGTAATTTGCCAGATAGAGCTAATTAACTAGTTTCATTCTTGATCGGAGGTAGTAATCGGTGGTTGGCTAAAAGCTGTCCTAATTATTTAAAAACATTTAAACGTAGGACACCATCTCTAATTCCTAATAAATATATTTTTATAAATTAAACACAGTTTTATTGCACCTGTTCGTCGTTTGCGGATTTGTCAACGACGCTGGAACTGTTTTCGGGTGAGAGAGAATGAATATTAACTTGTCTGCTGGATGTTACTGAGAACGAGAGACGCATAAACAATCGATTTGTGATGAATTTAGCTTTGTTTTCGCTTCTTTGCTCATTTAGAGGTCTATCATCCGTCATCGCCTGTTTGGTATGTATAATTTCAGAATCTCAAATCATGATAAACTGTGTTAACACTAGCGGGCAAAAGTAAAGGTTCAATGAAATAGCAAACCCATTTTGTTGATAAGTAGGCTAGTTGATTAGAGCAGCGTGTTTCTAATTTCTGCTCCGCTCTCTAATTTTGTGTTAATAGATTGTTATGTATTGGTGTAAACTGCTTGAATGAGAAAGTTTAACTCCGGTAACAAAAAAGGTGACAAAATAAAATTATGACTTCTAAATTCAATATTTTGCGCTGGTCTGTAGATACCAGAATGATATACAATATTATGGTTCCATTACATTTGAACCCACGTACATTTGAACCCATGCCAATTGCACCTGTATGCTATTGCACCTATGGAATTTTTTTTGTTTCACGGATAGTTAAACCCATACTGACCCTAACCCATGGGTTTTAGCACCCGCATATAGATTGAACCCGTGGATATACGCATGGGTTCAAATGTACATGGGTTCAAATGTACAGTCACCCAATATTATATATATAATAGTACCAATGGAATGGCATAATTGATTCTTTTTACATTCAGTTTTAGTATAATACAAGAGATATCACGAGTATTACTGGAGAAATTGAAATTGGTTTGTATTAAACTCAATTGAAGCATTTGTTTTGCTAAACTCACAGAAAATTGCCGTGCTTTGTAATGCTTCCATTTTGTGGCCAGTGCCGTACGGACCTCTTGGTTGCATACACAGTAGCATCCGAATATGAACACACCCTGATTTGGAAAGTAATAAATAAATAAATCAAACACTTTGCAAAATTAAGTGGTTAGCGTGTGTACTAGCAAAGTGGTGAAGTCATGTTCACCGATTCCTACAGAATGTAATTAATAATTTCAATAACGTATATTACCATGCTTATTTCTGAAGTATAACATAATATATTATTATTTATTTTGGGGGGATGTCTTTTATTTTAATTTATAAAAAGTACAAAGTAGAGAATTACGAGATTTTTAAATATACAAAATATGAAAACTGATATTCATTTACTTATAAATAACACGTATTTATTAAATAAAAAACTGCTAAACATGGATTAATAAAAACGACCAATCAATTAAAACGCGTAGAAAGTCAAAAAAAAATCAGCGATTTCGATTAGGCCTTATTTTAATAGGAGGGCTTATATTAAAAATATTTAAATTCTGGATAAGTCTTATTTTAGGGGAAAACACGGTGGTATTATGTTCATGCATTATGATTTTTCTTCCAAAACCCACAAACTCAAAGAACTAAACTGCCCGATTTCCCTAGTCTTGTCAGAGTGATAATGCTTATTAAATCAAAATATAATCCGTATTATACAGAATAGCGTGCGGAATATTTGAACCCATATTTGAAGTATATAATTACCTGGAATGCATTAAGAAGTACAAAAATATAAGCCATCGTGACATGAAACATAATAAGTCCACACATCCACGTGAAGCCTAAAAGAGGAGTCAATACCACAATGCCCCTTGTGGCGGTTTTAATATAAGCTGCTCTTGTCATCTTCGATCTTGCAGACTCTTCAACGTCAGGCAAACGTGCAACTTTTCGTCGTTGTGTTCTCATGGCAACTTTTAGCACCAAGATCATTATGATGGCGTTCGCCTGAATGTAAATTACAATTTTTATGGAAGCGCTACGCTTCAAACAAATTTCTTTTTCATTTTTTTTCTTATTATGAACATATCTTACCACCAACACTAAAATTGCAGGAGCAGCAAACGCCCAAATCATGCCGCTTGTAACAGACAACCAACATCTGAAATAATAACAAGTCCATAGTGAACGCCAAGTCAGCTATTGGTATGGGCACGGTCGGATTTAGAAGACGAGAAGCCCCTCGGCTATGACATTCATCAGGTCCTATCAGTGACGTCACAATACTTTTTCAGATTAAATTATGATATCATAATACCATAATTCATTGATTATAACCTATATTATGACATCATGAATAAATTTGCAAGACAATGCTGTTATAAAACGTTGTGGCACCAGAAAACGCTTTGTCATAATACCCATTTCTAGTCACAAGAGGTGGGGAGCATTACCCAGCTGCTGATAATATTACATTACTGAACAATAAAATTAACATTCCATTTTCAAATGAACGGGTTTACAATAAAAAAAAAGTTTAAAAATATTAAAAAAAAACATAAAGATTTTTAGATTCGTTGTTGCCTTTAAAAAGTATAGCCAGAATAAAGCTATAAATTGGTAAATTTATAAAATATTTCGAACAAGAAATTTTAACCTGAAATTAATTAAAAAAAGATCAAACAACTATTAGTTTTATAAATTTTTAAACCTATTATATCCTGGAACAAGCATTGAATTTGAAAACGTAGTTTAAAAATGAATGTCGAGGCCTTAAATACCTGAGGCTCCTAGGCAGCAGCCAACCTTGCCTATAATAGTAAATCGGGAACACTGTATGTGGTTGACCCGAGTTAATGTCGATAAATTGACTTCAAAGCATTTTACTAGACTAGGATAGGATTTACATATTTATCCCCGGGGAAAGAAAAGCCGAATAAGACGGCATAATCATATGGCGAACCATGGCTTTTCGTCCGGTTACCAGTCCATGTTCGTGATACTCAATACTGACTCAAAGTCTCTACTTTTCAAGCTAGCTCGACTTAAAAGTCGGTGACTTCGTGCAAACAATAAATATCGTACCCTGAAGAATTATATTTTTTCTCTGTCAATAGTCCAACACAAATACAAATCGTCGCAACTGCTACTGGAACTCCCCATCCGATTACATAATACAAGTTGCTAAATGAATTTCTTTGTCGAGAAAGAACCACAACAATTTTTCTGAAAAGTAAACATTCAGTGGGTAAATATCAACTAATTGAAATAAAGAGACCAGGGCTAGTAGGTCGAATAAAATTTACACGTGACTTCTACTCCAAATTATTCAACTGCACACCCAGTAAGAAAAAGAAATGCTATACTAGCCTGTAAATTACGATTCCTTCTACAAGCATCCAGAAGATGGCGCTCAATAGTAAAAAATGACTGAAGAAAGTGAGCACAATGCATTGCGTATTTGTTGTCGTTTCATCGTCATCATCAATAACGTTCATGCTCTTTATGTTATTTGTCCAAGACGAAATAACAAGGATTATATGCGCCAGTAGCAACGCCAAAAATAAATTAACGTGAATCACTCGGCGATCAGACTTTATTTCCCTGGGTAAATTTAAAGTATTTGTCGTAATAAATTGAATAAAAAAAAGGGCGATACTCAAATATACGTACACGAAGTAGTATGCAATCTGTCACAGTAGACTACGGCACAGGTACATAAGCTTCACGACTGACGTAAACGTAACCGCTACATAGGGCTCAAATTTGATGACGTCGTCGTACACAAAAAAACGAATTTTTGAAATGAATAAAAATAATAGTCTTCTAGAAAAAAGTACAGTCTTTAACCACTGAAAATTTGAAAGCAATTGGTCTAGTAATAAAATAGAGAAGACATTTTTTTTCTAATGATGAAAAGAAAAATTCTAACAAGAACATCAACATAATAATAACAAACGATCCATGTGTCTATTTTGTGTCCAATTATGCCACAAATTCATCAAAAATACCTTTTCAAGTAGATGAATAACAGGACGGAGACTAAAAGACATATGATTGTTAGAGTGTGACCAATGAGGGCAAGAATCGATAGAATCGTTCGATGTCCTTGCAGAATCTGTAAAAATAAAAGTAACTTTAATTTACAACAATGCAATAAAATTTTTTATGCAATTCTGAATATAGTTCGCCCACGGCCGGTTTGCTACGCATGAGTGATGTGTTACTACGTCATCAGTTTGCAATTTTTTGAAATTTACAGAGGGGGATTTCCTTTTGATTTTATTTGCGTATTTGGAATAGTTTTGTTGGTTGAAATAAATAAAAAGATATACTGGGGCATTAGGATAAAGTAGGGAGTCGTGGCATCTGTCAGTCATCTCTGCGTCGGTACCATACGACATAAGTTATCAAAGTGGATCAGGGGCAAGGTAATTCTGCTGTTTTGTGATTGCATTTATTGGATAGTAATTAAAGGTCTATACCAGGATCATAGCACAAAAGTAAGAATTCAATTACTCTTAGGTAGGGATGGACGATATAGCATACCCTAGAACTCGGTTTCTGTCTCTTCGGCGCCGTGCGTCAATTTTTGTATTTCGGATTTATAATTTAGGGACGAGCGTTATTCTCTAGCGACGAAATCTGTCTTGCGTGATTATACTTGTGTTTTCTGGCAAAGAGCCCGCGTTTGCGGCAGACATCAAACACTGTAATCCCAGCTTGAATGTTCAGAACGCGAAGACGGCGTTATGGCACCGTTTCATTATTGGTGCCGACTGCCATCATATAGGCGAGTTTCAGATTGCAACAATCTTCATTTTTGGAATAATGAAACATTCTCTATTTTAAATTAAATGACTTTTCGAATTCTCTCGAAAAATGCTGAATACCCGACGTTAGATGATAAAACATTATTTGCGATTAATTTAGATAAAATTTTTACTTTTCACGACACCTGTTTTCCGGAAATACGAAGTTATAAAGCAAAACAAAGCGTTTTGTTAAATTTATTTTGTGCTCCCAATAAAATACCGTTCCTATCGCCCGAGCGCGACATACGCCTGGTCGAGTACAGCCGGTACTTCAGTCGACGATAAATTAAAAATGTTGCCACATGTGGTATGTATAACGATGATAAATAGAAATTAAAATTTGGTAACATGAATGAATTTGTCTCAAGATGTTATTTTATGAGTTTTGCTCGAAGAAGCAATTGATTTCTGTCAAAGGCACAGGACATTCAAACAATAATCAGTCCGATAACCTACATCCATACATCCCATGGCTGAAGACTACACGCGTCACAATATCGCGTTGAGAGAGAAAATAACATGACGCATCACTCAAGCGTAACGAGAGAACTGTGTAACATAAATAAACAAAGACGAAGAATGCGTGAGGGAACTATATTAAGTTAACTATGGTCAACTTGGGCAGAAACGTCTGGTCCGGAACGTCTGTGAGTCGAAACATCCGTATACCCTAGCACAGGGGTCACCAACCCGTTGTCCGCGGGCACCAAGTCGCCCGTGAAGACCACATGAGTCGCCAGAAGGTCTGTTCTAAAATACGCTTAATAACGGCGCTTATGAGTAAGCTACATCAATTAATTGATTTGTGGAGCAGCAATGCCAATTATTTATTTCAGGGAAAGTGGCAGAAAAACGAAAGAAAACCTACCAGTTTCACAATGAATAGGAGGTTGATTTCCTTTTGCCACCGTGAAAACATGCGTATGTCTCATTTGCGGGGAGTTTATAGCAGAGGCGTAGCTTAGGGGGGGCAGTGGGGTACATATGTCCCCGGGCGCCAAGGTACAGGGGCGCCAAAATGGGGCTTGCAAAAATTTCACAAGGGTAAAAAATGGTCACAAGCAAGATCGCACCGGCGGCAGACATCTAGTCTTAGTTCATGGCAAACTGCACACTTGGTCAGACCACTTACGACTGCCGACGTCATCACGCACATAGCTCGCTCACGGTCAGATTTCCATCGTAATTACATGGCCAAAAAATCTGGCCGGGAAACAAAGCAAAATTTGATTTGGTAACGTTAGGTAACAAAATGCACCGCGTTAATTACGTGGTTCTGTATCGTTAAGTTCTTGCCTGCGCACTCCGATGTAAGTTGATATTAGTACTGTGCTGAAGACAAATGGAAACGGAATTTGGGTGAATGATGTTAATACAGGTTTTGAGTAATACGTGGTTTTGTATTTCGTTGTTGTCAAAGTACCGTACTTTGCGGCAGAGTTAAATAAAATATATTATACTGTGCTAAAAGACCCTAACAATTCGTCGAGAATGCACAGATTTTGTGAATTTCTACGACACGGACATCAATGGCCACGAACTTTTCACCGAAATTGGAGATTGCAGAATGCTGCTCAGTAACAAAACTGTAGGTCAACCAGAAACTCCTTTGGTTCTTCTTGGTTTTATTGTGTCTTTTGGAGACGACGTTTTACCTAATCTGCGAATCTCTCCACAAATTTTGTTAACAATACCAGTTTCAATTGCAAGCTGTGAACGGTCTTTAAGCAAATTGAAACTTATTTTGTCGTATTCGCGTGCATCAACGGGACAGGATCGTTGTTGAAAGAGAAACATTGGGGGGAAAAAACAGATTTTGATGACGTGTTAACCAGTTTACGACAGTGAAATTGAAAAAATGAACATTACATTTGAATTTACATATACATATATTTTTGAATAAATAATAAATATATAAATAAATATAAATTTGAATTCACTTATCGTCACGCTAAAAACCGAATTGCGTAAGTCATTTTTGGCGGTTTTGAGTTTTTTCATAAAATAGGTATTTATGTAATGCTGCGCACCTGTCTGTTTACTCAGATTTTATTTTAAGACTTCCAAAACCCATAAAAATAGAGATTTTGTATGATATGCAAATTTGTTCAATTGTTCCGTCATAATGAATTATCTTTGTTTAACGCAGGACTATTGTGACGTCACAAAGGCAAAATAACCTCGGCGAAGGATTTTCGAGTTTTTGCATCTCAGATTCTAGCTTTTCAATTTATACTACTGTATAGGAAGGCGTGCACTTGTGATATTCACTGTCTGAGTCCAATTCACCTTGGTTGACTTTTATATAATGGTACATTACTGTTTTATTCTTTATATTTAACTTTAGTCTTATTTCGGTGGATGTGCAGAGCGTGTTGATGAAATATATATTTTTAAACATAAAAAATAATGTAATTGAAACAGATTAGCTATTTTGGATTGTTCGGTTTTCAGGACTGGTACATATAGTCAAGTTGCAAAATTGCGTATGTCCCCTAGTCCTAGACACATTTTTTCCTAAGTCACAGTGCGCCATTATGACGTCACATGACTGCGTCATACAAATTAACTTAAATCCGGCTACGATCAAAAAGTTGAACTATGGCAAATTAATGGCATAGCAGTATCATTAGGAAGTTTTTTTACGTTTTCCTCAAAACAGCTAAATATGACTTACGCAATTCGGTTATTAACGTGACGATATATAATTTGTTTTTACATATACAATTAAATGCAATAGAAAACATGATTAAACGTGGGGGTCGGGGCGCCAATTTTATATTTTGCCCCGGGCGCAAAATATCCTGGCTACGCCTCTGGTTTATAGCGACGACAAAGCGAAGAAACATTTCACATCTTGTCACTATCCATTGGTCAGCGCAGTGCGGGCAGAAAAAGCTCGCCTTTTAATTCAAACAGCAATCATATGTTACGAGATCAGTGTTTGGTTCAAGCCATCTTTGTGAATCAACATTTTTTGACATAGTGACCCCTGCCCTAGCAACTATCGACTCGAAAACAATAAATACGTAAATATCGCTTAATATACTCGCCAGGTTGGAATAAATTTAAAACTCTTTGAAAGAAACATATCAAGTTGATTCCGTTATTAAATTGATCTATAGTCACAACTAAGGCAGATCATTTTCGAATACCTGTTGGTTTTAGAATCGAATCGAATATTTTTTTCAAAGCGAATGTCGAATACGTGGAAGATATGTAATTGTATGTGATTTTTTATTGCAATGGTTACTCCGGCCACAAATCACTGCAAACATAGAAAGCACCACTCAGTTAGTTCGCTGAGTTGTCAAACACAATATATAAAAACATGTTTTTGAATAACTCACTAGGAAGAAAGAACTTTTACCTTAGAATTGCCTTTTAAAAATGTGCCTTCAATACAAAAAATAGACGGATTCACTTCGATCTTTGGCAGATAAATGAAAAACAAGATCTTTTTCTGAATCGATTCGAATAATTCAGTATTCGATTTGACTATTTAGTATTTGATTAAAAAATTCCCAGCTATAGTAAAAAAAAAAACGTATTCTATGACAAATGAAAAAACATACTCACATCAACTTCTGGCTGAAAAACAAGCATCAGAACTGCAAAGTCGGTTGTATGATTGCATTTGCAATGATATCTTCCATCATTCCATAATCTGAACATCTGGTGACATCCTTTGCTGGACCATCCCAAATTCGTTCCTATGGAAACATTCAAAAAGATACTAATGTAGGTACTCTCGAAGTATGTGAACCAAGATGGCGGACACCGAAACGAAACCAGGTTTAAGGTTAAGACAGGCCTGCCCAATCTTTTTCGTCTCACGGGCCATTTTCACGTGACGAAATCGGTCGCGGGACGCAAACGTTTGTACCAAACATAAATACTAGATGAGCCCTGATTTTGGTGTAGGTAATAACATAATAGATAAAAGGCGAGTTTATTAACAGGAAATCAATCAAATTAATAATTGCTTTCTGGTTACTGAGTAAGGCTGGCAAATTATTCGAATATTAGAATAGCGGTTTAATATTCGAATATCTGGTAAACGGGGCGTGGACATAACACTCTCGGGCGACTGAATCAAAGAATCGATCATTACACAACCCACTTGCGGTTTTTTGGCGACCACGCAAGAGACACACATATCACGTCAAAGTTGAGTATTATATTTGCGTTATAGTGTTTTTATTCATTCATTTTCAGTGGCTACGATACTGCTTTAATGTTTAAATGAGCATAATGTGCGTCAATGTCGAGGCAATATCAAGTTTTAGTGGGCCGTTCCGTAACATTTGAAACACCAATACAAGTATTTAATGAAGTAACGTAACGAGATTTCTGAACGAATAGTCGATATATATACACTGATTTGTGACTAAATAGTAGCAATGCCATTACGTCAATTTCATCAGAATTATTGACGAATACGCAGTGATGACATTTCCAAAATCTTATTTAACGCGAACATAACATGAACAAAAGTACAGACATAAAAAGACAACGAGTCCGGGACCAGTACCCAAGATATAGTTGACTTTTTATTTCACGTTGGCGATAAAGACGATCAAAACCGACACGAAAGAAAGCAATCAAAATGAAATTGATTTGCAAACTTAGGCTCCAAGTTGATTCCTATATTTGCGCTCAGCGTTTGTCCCCAATGATCGCACAATATCTTTATAGTTCGTCGAACAGAGTGCACAGTTTTGCGAGAAATAAAAAAAATGACAATTATGTCCACCAGGGTGCTACACATGACACATACGTAATAATAAAAACCGGCAATTGAACGTAGATAGATGACTGGAATAATTACACCAAAATCCCGAAAGATACTTATGTATAGTAAAATCTAAAATGTATGTAAAAATTTTAATTCTGCTTACAAACTTTATAGGGCGGGCCGCAAAAAACACTCCGGCGGGCCGCGGGTAGGGCAGCCTTGGGTTAGGACATCATTTCAGGTACAAATACTACGGGAGTCACTTGGCTGGTCCCCGAACTCGTAATAGAACTAAAATAGGGAAAATTGAAATAAAATTATGGCCTAATCCTAACCTGGTACACATACTACCGGTGTTCGCCATCTGGGTTCACCTACTCCGGGAGTACCCTAATGTGTATTGTATAAAATATATAAAGTTTGATATATCAAGAAACTTTGATTACTTACCATCGTCGCCTGAGAGAAACGCACACATCTGTGAATCCGGAATTATTTCAAGATCGGTTTCTGGAATTTTCTAAAAAATTTGTCAAAATTGGTGAAATAAAATAATCTTTTGTATAAATATGAAATCAGCCATACCTTTAGCAATGAAAGTTCTACATCAGTTGGATAATTGGTTCCATTTATTCTCAATGTTGCTGTCAAAATATTGCTTGCTATCATCGAATATGTAGTTCCTTTAGAGTATTTTTGGCGATTCCCGTCATTGTTCAATGCACTTGAATCTTCTGATGTATCATAATTGAAGTTATTTATTGAATCAGTCTCTGACATACCATCAATCACATTATCAGACAGAGTAAGGGCGTTTTCAGATACATCAAGAAGAGTGCTCTCAAATTTTTTGTATTGGACATAGAAGAATGAAACGCCGTGTATATCTAAGAAAATAGTAACAATTGCAGTATTAATTAGATTAAGGGTCGGTAACCTACAGTCATCAGACCTAGTTAAACCGGCTCACGACGCGAAGAAAATTAGGACGAAAATGCATGATTCGCATTTCCACTCCATATCAAAACGATCTTGTAACCTACTCCACGCTCAGAGAACAAATCGTATTTGACGTAACATGCTTGCTCGACACAACCAGCCACAGTCGCTCGCGCATTATGTTTTCCGTCGCAGTGTCACAGCAAACTCATGTAAAGTTACTGAGACATTGCCTAACCGACTTGTAGACTAAAAATATTTGCTACCCGCCAAGTCTTACATTTTATTTTAGCCTACGGGCGATAACAGAAATTAGAGTTTGGTCAAGTCGCAATATGTAGCTGGTAAATAGGATTTCATTATCTTTGCATCCATAATGGGTACAAATAGGCTTTTGCACCCAGAAATTTTGGCGTCTACATACAGATTGCACCCACGGACACTTGCAATCCTTGGACGTTATCACCCGTCGACATTTGTACCCACACATATTGCACTCATGCAGATTTGCACCCATGATCCTTCACCTACGTTTATTTCGTGTTTTAAACATTTATTCCTACTTTCACTTATGGCTTAGTTTTGGTGCACCATGACCATTTGCACCAGTCTGTAAAGTAGCCTACACGAGAGTTTAATGTTGTAATTCGGAGTATGATAGACATCCTGATGTTATAACTAGTAATGAATACGAACGTACCGCAAAGCTGCACTTGATTAAGTTGGTTTAATCAAGGAACGGAGGCAGGAGAAAGTATCTAGCAGACCTAAGCCTAGACAATATAATGACGTAACAAAAACGTAAAGAAAAGGTAAAACTTCACTTAGATTACCACTTAATTCATGTAGAGAATCTGACATTGTCATTGTAATAGCTTCACCATTAGTAGGGTTGAAGTGCAAGTAAGAATCAAACAGATAACTATTTTTGAATTTGCTCGTTTCGTTCCTAACTACCAATATCTGTAGTTCTGAATATACAAACATATAAATCATTAATATAGACAAGGAATACAATTCTACGAGATAAGTATTCCTGCTTGAACCTAGCCGTACACAAACTTATCTTTTAAAGCTTAAAGCCTTACTCGACAAATGTGTATTACATGCTGTCTGTCTGTTTGTTTAAAGCCCACATCTGAAGAAACAAAAACGCGCCATTATATGTGAGAGGCCGAACTAAGAACATAATCACACAACTGAAAACACTAAAAACACACATTGTTGAACTGTGGGAGTAGCCTATATGAAAGTACATAAATAATTAACAAGTTTGTAAATAGTAAAATAGATACTCTTTGTAGTAAGGGTTCATACTTATAGCCTCTGACGACACTGACAGTCGCGTAATGTTTTGTTGAATATCTCCATCTTGTCGCATTAGTGCTCCAAGTGCATCAGCTGCATATTCTCCCAGATTATTCACTGTATCTATCACTTTTCGTTGTTTGTTCTTGAAAATAATTGTTCAGTTCAGAGACGACGGATTTCACGTTATTCAGAATGCTAAACGGCGAGATTATCGTGCTGATGGGCGGAACACCATACACTAACTTTTCCCAAAACCACAAGAGATAATTTAAATGTTTTGGCGGAAGGATTTTACTCTGTGATTGTGTGTAGTATTAGTGATATTTTATAATTATTGTAATGCATATATATGCATACATTATAAATTATTTAAAATGTACAAAAACCGCATAACTGGTTACACGTATCGCAAGCAAATGTGCCGTTCAAAAATGCAAAGGCAAATGCAAATAGAGCTTTATACGTAGTAGGGGAGTAATTCGGAGCTCAAAACTATACCAAGAAAGGTATAGTCTCCCTTTCCTCTCTCCGCTGTCACAAGTGGTTCACGAAACCGTGGGACAAAAACGAGTTGACCCGACCATTCACATCCACTTATCTGCAACCTTCAACTAGTAAATATTCCCATCCCCAGCCTGGATAAGTGACCTACGAAAGGCAGTCGCGCGCTATGTGATTGATACATATTATGAATCTCTCACAAGATAAGCACACAGTATTTTTTTACTCTAACGTCGTACCTCTCATATCAACTTTTATTGCAAGATAAGATTTAAAATAGTCACACGACGGGATTGGGTCTTAGCGGGCCTCAGATGGTAATTTTTGATAGTCGAGGTATTCAAATTATAAATGGACAATGCTTTAGTTAGATAAAGACATGGAATAATAAATGTTGTGAAGGCACCATTTCGGAAAATCCTTTTATTACAACACAAAAAGATACAATGAATAGCCAATGCTCCCGGTCGGGGGGACGATTTTTTTCTTTAATAAACAAAAATTCGCTTGGTAACCGAGTATTGAATATTCAGTGAATCCTCAAGTAATGAATAAAAAATTGAGTCATTATTGCATCATAAAGGAATTTGCGTCATCAGTGAATAGGAGAAACAAATCCAGCGCTACCGACGGAGCCTAAACAATTGTATGCGTACGTAGTTAGTGTCACGCGGAGGGAGTTTCCCAAAAGCATTATCCAATCAGAATATATATCTTTGAATATACGAGCAAAACTGCTCGAGGCCAAAAGTTGAAATGAGATCAAGGATTTTTAATTCACAGCTTAGAATATTGCCTATAGACCAGGGGTAGGCAAACTTTTGTCGTTCGCGAGCCAAAATTAAAGGTTGCAAGTCATTGGCGTGCAGCACATATTTTTAGAAAGTTGAAAACCGGGAGAATGGCCAATGAATCACATTTTTTCACACAGATTTCAGTTAAATTTCAAGCAGCGCGCGAAAACTGATCATTTGAATATTTTCTGCGCCATTAAACCATTTGCACTCAGCACCAACTTTTTTACGTTCTGTTGCCATTTGTCTGATTATAATCAATTTATAGGCTGATTAATTAAACGAGTGATTGTGAATTATATATTTGTTAGGTTATAATATAATTTAGTGTCTCAAAACAAATTTTGTTACATAAAGAATATAATCGTCAATACAGTTGTTTTGTAAATATAATTCAGTGAAGCGTCGTGGGCCGGATTATATTGTTTCGCGGGCCGGATAGGGCCCGCGAGCCTTAGTTTGCCGACCCCTGCTATAGAGGATAGACTTTTCGCACGTTCAATCCCACGGGGAATAAGGGTTCCTTCATCGACCATTTAGAATCTGATGCATGGTTCTAGAACCGTTTACTCTTTAGCCATTTCTATACACGTGTGAACAATAAAGTTCACCATATTAGCAAACCATTTATCTGCTCATCTTCCTCTAAATAAAAATAATAGTATATATATAAATATATATATAATTATACACGAATAATACTTATAATTATACTACGATACCAATCACGAATTAATAAAGTCTTACCTGAATTGGAGGTGATTCAGTGACCAGACTTGTTTTCATAGACACTATGGATGCGACTTCAATGATGTTTTTCGTAAAGTTCCGCACACTATTTTCAGTCGTCTCGAACTTCGCTGAAAAATCTATAGAGTCTCTTGCCTCTGAAACCATTTCTTGTATACTTGTCAACGCAGATGCGTAAAAATCTCCCTGCGTCATTTTAGGTTGTTTCAATTGATTGAGCAAGTTTTTTGATTCTTCATTGAGATCCTAAAAAGTGTACATCAATGAATAAAGACTAGACTATATATTTGTATTCGCTGTATTCATACAAAATCGAATTTTTATATATTTCACTTACATAATCACATAATATGCGACAGAATATCTAAATCCTTAGCTATTAACCATCGACTTTAAAAAGATCGAATATGCTAAGTTCATCGTAATAAGATATTGAAGTTGCTTCAAGTTACTCGACTACTAAATTCCCAATTCAGTTTTTTCTTCTATAAAAAAAATTGACAAACCTTTAAATTGTCTTTCACAGTTTCACACCAGCCACCATTGTCTTCGCAATAGTGCTTCTTGATTGCTTCCAGTGAATACTCACATACATATCTATATTTCACAGAACATTGCGATGTTCGCCATTTTTCATTCACTAAACATGAGGCGTACAAACCGTAACTAGCTAGCAAGGCGTTTGGTGGATACAGAAGTATGTGAACCAAGATGGTGGACACCGGAACGTAGTATGTGTAAGACCATAATTTCAGGTACATATACTACGGGAGTCACTTGGCTAGTCCCCGTAATAGAACTAAAATAAGAAAAATTAGAATTAAATTATGGCCTAACCCTAATCTGGTACACATACTACGTTCCCGTGTCCGTCATCTTGGTACATATACTCCGGGAGTACCGTTTGATGAAATGGTGTTCTAGTCCTGAATTATACATTTACGTTATCCAGCCTTTAATTTGAATTCCATAAAACGTAACGCAAATTTTGTAACAAACTGATGTTCGCCATATTTTCAGATTAAATTTTCATATACTATGACCACGCAATATATTCCTTTGTACTCGTTAGTGCATTTTTATTAGTATTCTCTCGTCACATTTCTAGTAAGAAAATATAGTTAAATATTATGAGAATCGCTTTACCTACTGACATATATACACAAGCTCCTTTGTAGATGTTCGAGTTGTCCATTGAGTTATACTTCGCAAAATTAGCATTCTGTCCAGTCACTGCCGGAATTGGAATAGAAGGCCAGCTGAAACATGGAATTTCTCGACATTATATTTTGATTATAATTAAAAAATTCCACTTTATATGCTTACTTTGTAAACTACTTAATATTTATTCTAGCCAAAAACAGCAAGCCTAATGCTAAATGACTAGCTTCCTAATATACACTTCAATGTTGAAAGTTACCATATAGTGCAAAGTTTTTAGGGTTATTTTATAATTTGCTCGTATTTGCACCTGACTATATATATACATATATGAAAAAAAACTGTAACGAATAATCATAATTATCAAATAATCATTAGCCGGTCGAGGGGGTGTCTGTTTAGGGATTTCACA